GTCCTACCAGGGCCTGGAAAGGTACGACAATCCGTAAACAAGCCATGTGTAACATAGCCAGTGAAAGAAGAAAACTGTCAGCGACCAAAATAAAGGCAAAAAGTTAAATGAATTATGTCTGGCAACAGAGTTTGTTGGCAGAAGCTGACTAGATTGTCCTCTGTCTAGGCTGAGGGAAGGGGGTAACTTATAGAGTACAAACATAAAATATCTTTTATGTCCTTAAAACCATTATCATCTGGGTGACTGGTAAATTATAGTGTTCATATAATTTTTTAGAATAGAAAGCCCTAATTAACAGAGTAGATTTTATTGCTCCTTAAAAGGGGGAAGGCACAAGTCAGAAGTATGAGTCTCTTGCTCTACTAAAAGAGGGCAACTCCCCGCTCCACATCTCTTTTGTCAGTGATTGGCCATGAGTGAAGAGCTGGTAAAATGTACTTATTTTTTCTTGGCACAAGTTATGTGAACGATTTATGATAGAGGACCTACATAAAACTCAACAGTGACATGAACAAATAACCTAAGTATAAAATGGGCAAAAGACAGGAACAGACATTTTATTACTAAGAACTTATAGATGGCAACCTCATATTAACCCATTAAAACCTGTACCTTAGTCGTTCTGCTTGAGTTGGCTGCTAGCCACCCAAGGCGAAGTGCAGCGCAGAAAGACTGGGTCCAGGCACCAGGGGTGTATTGGCCTGCAGCCAGCAGCTGGTGTGATCTGTCTCTCATGGGATCTGCTGTGTGCAGCCACCATAAATGACTAAAACATAAGCATATACATATACATATAGCCCCAGTAGAAGCAAAAGCATAATTTTTTTCTCAAACATAATGTATCTTTGACTTTTAAAGTTAAAGCTTTTTAAAGTCTATAGACTGGAAGAGAGGCAGAGCAGCACTAGTTAGCAGAGTGTCCTTGGTTACCAGTGTTTCTGAAAGAAAAAAAAATTTTAAAAACATTTTTAGTCACAATCTGAGATTCTCTGTCCTATGTCCTTTTAATGGGCCAGGCAGATATCTAGAGAGGAGGAGGGTGTCTGTCCCATGTTAGGTTGCATCACAGTCAGGTCTTTACTGTTAGTACCATCAAGACAAGACAAGACAAACAAACACAGCACTTAGACAAAAGAAAGGGTTCCATCTCAAAGACTTGCTGTGCTGGACCTAGTGCTGGGCGTTGAATCCAGGGCTTTGTGCATGCTGGGAAAGTACACAAACAATAAGCCATCTTGTTTATCTGGAAAAATATCTCCAGATCATTTTTACTCTTTAAATTTTGAGACAGGTTCCACTAAGTTGCCTGGGTCAACCTTGAATTCATTGTATACTCCAGATTAGCTATACAATGCTCCTCCTGCCTCAGACTCCTGGGCAGAGAGGATTACAAGCCTATGCTATCAGGCTGGACTTTTTAATTTGAATTCTTTTGTTGTTGTTAGTTTTCATTGAAACCCAGCCATCTTTGCAATGTGTTTCTGACATTAAGCAATCCTGATGGGGGAAGTCCTGTGTATATGTCAATAAAGCACTGTTGACCAATAGGGAAGCAAGATAGGTGGGACTAGGAGTCTAGAAGGATTCTGGGAAATGTAGTGAACTGAGCCATCGCCATGTGATCCCCGGAGAACGCAAGTCTGGTGTTATCGAAAAGATAAGTCCTTATAAAAATATATATTGATGATTATGGGTCAATAATTAAGTCGAGCTAGACAATGACAAACAATAGCAAATGGCCAACAGCTTATAATTAATACAGTGTCCTGTGTGTTATTTGGGGGTTCAGACAGCGGGGAAAACTATACTTTACACAATCCTGTATTTCTTAAGTGGTCTCATGATACTTGCTATGTAACTCAGCCTGACTTTGAACTCATGAGAGCCACCTGCCTCTGTCTCCCAAGTGCTTGATTTAAAGCCATGTACCACCACACTCAGCCCCATATACTAATTCTTTTTTTTTTTTTTTTTTTTTTTTTGGTTTTTCGAGGCAGGGTTTCTCTGTATTGTTTTGGAGGCTTTCCTGGAACTCGCTTTGTAGACCAGGATGGCCTCGAACTCACAGAGATCCACCTGCCTCTGCCTCCCGAGTGCTGGGATTAAAGGTGTGCGCCACCAACGCCCGGCTCATATACTAATTCTTAAAGTGTTTTCCCAGAAGTGAAACCTTTCACCTTCACCTTCAATCACAAGTCTTTAACCAGAGCAGGTCCCTTCGAGGGGCTGGGGGAGGGCATGCTGCCACATGGCTGGAAGGAAGCAATCTCCTTTCCACACTCCTGTCAGCCACTCTTCTACTCTCTGTAGTTTTATCTTTTCCAAAATGTACTATAAATGGACTCACTGTGTTCAGCTTAAAAATATATTCGTGTATTTTTGTGTCTGTGTATGCAGGAGCCCAAATGGGTCTGAAGAGGGCATCAGATCCCCTAGAACTGGAGTTACAGGCGGCTGAGAGCTGTCACGTGTGTGCTGAGACCCAGGTCCATTCTTGACTGCTAAGTCATGCCTCCAGCCTACCCAGTTTTCTTCTTTTTCACTTAACATGATGCTTTTGAGACTCAGCCTTGTGACTGCATCTCTGCCTAATATAGTAGTCCGTTCTTTTTAATAGTTTGGTGACACTCAAATTGCACAGTTATTCCACAACTCCACAGGGTGTCCTCTGGACTCTGGAATACAAAGCTTCATCTACAAATGTGTTGAGCTACATTCATAGCTATCCTGGGATATGTGTGATCTTTGGACCACAGGTTAGACATGTCTGGTAGTCTCTCTGTCTCTTATCTCTGTCTTTCTCTGAGACAAAGCCTTGCTGAACACCTCAGTAGTCCAGGCTGGCCTTGAACTTACTGACATCCCTCTGCCTCAGGCTTTGGTGTGCTAGGATTATAGGCATAAGCCTCCACTCCAAGCCCAGGGCCTTTGATTTTAAAGTGTTTTTTTTTTTTAATGATCCTTGTGCCCACTAATCCATCCCTGCTTTAGTAACTGCTTACTAGCTGTGGGCCAGAACTTCAACATAGAATATCAGACAAGACTATAGTACTGGCAGTCCTCAGTTATGATTCTGAGCTAATTGGTTCCTTTATGTGGCGGGATGGGGAGGTGGGGAGTTGGGGGATGAGGGTGGGTTCGGGAGGGTAGGCTCTGGAAGTGACGAGGCCAAATTCAAACCTCCAGGGACAGTGAACAGTGACACCCAGTACTCCATGCCCTTCCTTCTTTTAGTGACAGGAGGTTCTTGTTCATCTGAACCAATATGTATCTCTTCTTGATAGTTCTAGAATAATTTCATATGAGTTCTTTTAACCTTTGCAACTTCCTAAGGCAGAAATTATTAGCTTATTCTACCAAATCAGGATACGGATGTTCAGACACTGGAGTAGGAATAGCAGGGAAGTACAGAAGAATGCCTTATGCTAACTGATAGTGCTAGACGACTTTATACAGTCAGTGAAAATTAGCATAGACATTTGCTCCTGGTACGGCTTCTGTCTTTCTAATCTGAAGTTCCTGTTCACTATGCCAAGGGTTGCATGGTGTCACAATGCCGTTATCAGAGCTGAAAGCTGCCATGGCCTTCACCTATCAACTACCGACATGGGAGGACTCTACCGGGGCATGGGGGGTATCACCACACCAGACAGCTAGACTGCACACTCCAAAGTGGAAAACAGAAAACTGTGAGTGCTGAAGACACTTGGAAAACTTTTCTTCACAGAAAACCAAACCTTGGGGCAGGGGCTCAGCCAGGGCAGAGGCACAAGTGGGCTAAACATGCAGCCCTGGCTGATGTGTGGGCAAAAGGCTTCCCATCTTGCCTGCTTTGAAATAGTTACCAAAATGTGACATTAGTCACAGCAGCCAAGATGTAGAAATAACCTAAGTGTCAACTGATGAATGGTTAAAGAAACTGGTATAGATGTATCCAATGATTATTATTTAGCATTAACAAAGGGGAGCAGCATCCTCTGTTTTGAGATTGTGTGGAACTGGGGAGAATACATTAAACATCATAGTGCACCCCTTAAATGCATGAAATTGGAGGGGAGGTCTGGAATTGTTATGGTTTCCAATGTCTGGCTGAGTCGAGCAGGAACAGGAAGGGATCAACATCAGGACCCAGTTAAGATCTCAGTGGGGACTGTTTCCTAGAGGCTGAGTGGAGGGAGGGGTAGAAGGGAGAGATGGTACTGGCCTTCCAGGAATGTTTGATGAGCTACAACCTGATTGAGCCTTCTGACACATGCCCCAAGCTGTGGTTATGGGCCTCCACTATTGTCAAGGGTTTTTCCCCCCTCAAAAAGTATGTGAGAGGCTTCCATGGAAGTAACTATTGAATACATTAGTAAACATTTATCTAACCATTCAGCCACATTGGCCTGATTTAAAGTTCCACAGAATCTCAGACGTGCTATTTACTGTCCCATCTCCAAGACAAGAGGAGTTGGCATGGAGTGGTCACCGGCAACAGTTAGGAGCGAGCGCCCAGTGTCTGACCTAGTTACACCCTCGGATTTAGAGACAGAGAGGACGCAATATCTGAATTAGGCCTCTATCGCTAGGGAGGTCCATCTATCCATCTGTCCATCCATCCACCCGTCTATCCATCCATCTATCCATCCATCCATCTATCCATCCATCCATCTACTCACCCACCCATCCACCCACCCACCCATCCACTTACCCACCCACCCATCCACTTATCCATCCATCCATCCATCCATCCATCCATCCATCCATCCACCCACCCATCTACCCACCCACCCACCAATCCATCCATCCATCCATCCATCCATCCATCCATCCATCCATCCATCCGTCTGTCCATCCATCCATCCACCCATTCACTCATTCATCTTCAACAGTGTTTCTGCACTTCTGGGCACTGAGGACAGAGAGGTGACTCACCACCTCGATTTGCATTCAGAAGGCCACTGTTCACTTCAGATATTTGTGTGTTGATAAAAAAACAACTTCTTACACCCTTGTTTTTAAAAGGAAACCAATGGAAATGGTATTAATTTTATTGCATCTTTTTGGGGTTTTTTGCTGACTAGAACGCCAGACTTAGAGTGGATATTAAGTATAAAAATAACCAAATTCTTACAAATAATACTTTGCTGCTACAGTACTGAATAATTAGTGGAGGCGACATTATAATACAACTTTAAATAACATTCTCATGATGGGTTTCACACAGTCACCCTGGGTGTCAGGTTTCAAGAGTACAGAAGACAATCCGGGACAATGGGAATGGAGTTCACATTGCAGCTTCATCTCCATTTAACCAGAAGGCCAGCAACACACACACACATCACCAAAACTCACAGCAACTTGTGGCGAACAGTCATTTTCTCTGTAGAACAGGCCTCGGTGATGCTCAAAGATGAGTGAGTGGGTTCAGTTCCCCTGACAAACTGGCTCCACCCCACCCCATTCTCACCCCAACATCAGCAATTCAAGCCCACCATTTAAAACACAGGAGAATCCACCAGGCAGCCCCTTGGAAATGCCCTCTTTGAAAATGCCCCTGTGGCAGCTACAGTTCAGGACCTGCCTCTTTTCAGATCTGGAGGGTCCCCCTTTGGTTTCACAGGTTAGTCTGTGAGCTAAAGTTTCCACCAGACACAAAGGAGTGTAACCTCGTGGAGACACTTAAGTACAAGGAATTGATTGGCATGTAATATCTTAATGTTCTTATTATTTTAACCAGTTATTTTAAAAAGCTCAAAGTTACTATCTTCACTGTTCCTATTGTTTCCCTCCCATTGGGATTTGAGAGAAGAAAGAACACACATACCCAACAACAAACTACAAACCATTTCTGTCTCCAAACATGCCAAGGAGCAGGAGGGAGAGGAAGGGGAAGAGGAAGAGGAGGAGGGAGGAAGAGGTGGGATGTGTGCATCCTTTTCTAAAAAGAAAAAAGCTTTCAGATAGATGACAATATCTTTGCTATTACAGGCTGTTTTAAATAAAATGCTAAAACACAGAATTTTGTATTGTTCTTCCCAAGGAAGTGCTTTGGTCTTGAAAGAAAACAATCAATATAAATTTACAACTCTGGGTAAAGGCCCTAGGTTTGAGTGTATTGTGGGACACTTAGCCAAGGGCAACTCGGCTGTATAGTTTTACTGCTTTTGGCCATGCCCTATAGTTACAGAGACTCTGGCACCTCACTACTGGGCAAGGTGGCATAAAGAGGCACCTGAAAGACACGTGCTTGGGTGATCCTAATGTGCCCACTCTGGAACTTCCCTCTTGGACAGACAGCATCTTTGAAGACTTTACTCTTGGTCGTCAGCCAGTCTCCTTCCAACAATGCTGCTCTCTTCTTGGGGCCAGCTTTTACGACTTCCTCTTCTAGACCATAGTTGTCATTTTTGACCTCAAATGCCACCAGACAGCTTGACTGTACCAATCACACAGTAGTTCTGCTTCACATGACTTTGATGCTTCTAAAAATAACCTCCCCAACAAGGAAGCTCCTTCAGCACCCCAGACACTCAACTGTGTTCCCAGCTCCCACAGCTCCCCACATGAATGTGTGGGAGCCATGGCCTCACTCTGAGAAGAAAGCAGGCAGGCCTCAATGGGCACCTAAGCCTGGCTGTGCCTGTTAAAGACCTATCTAGAGCACTCCCTTACACTTCTGGCAGCCCAAGTCACGTACCAATATACGTCTTGCCAACTACAAACCTACCAATATTCTCCTTTTTGCGATAGGTGTTATGTACTCCAGGAAATCCTGATGTCCGGGTCCTCTGACCTCCACTTCTGAGGGCTGGGATTACATGTGTGTACCACTGTGTCCAGTTTGTGTGGCACTGAGGATCAAACCCAGGGCTTGTACATGCTAGGCACTCACTCTGCCACCTAAGCTACATTCCCAGCCCCTCTCTGAATGCTCATGGTAGGAATACATGGTGTTATATATCCTACTAATTGATAAGCCCTTTGTGGAGCAAAAATTAAATACAAAAAAAAAAAGAGGACCCCTTGGAGTTTACACAGAGCTCAGGCTGGATTGGGAAGCCCTCCTTTCTCTTTCCTGCTCCTGAGCCCCTCAGAATAGGTAAGTTCTGCCTGGCCTGTCTCTTCTGCCCGCAAGCATCTCCTAGGCCGTGTAGCCTTTCCCCTCTCGCCGCTTCCCTCATCATGGGACCGTAGGGCCGGACTGTGTCATGTCTATGCACCTGAACTGTGCATTCTGGGTATGGGGACAGTCTCTGAACACTCCTGTCCACCATGGGTTCATCCTGTCTGTCCTGCTCATGGGCTGACATCCTATCTTCAGGCTCCATCTGGACATAACCCCAAGCCAGAGAGACCCAGTCACTCCATTCCTCTCAACGGTGAGCAGGGAGTCCCAGGCAAGTCATGTCTCTTTTACAAATCCTTCAAGCCTTTCTACCTCAAACTCCCTGGACCCCCGAGACGGTAGACTAAGTTGGAATTCACCTTGCTTAGCACTCTCATTTTTTTTTCACAGTAAAAAAGAACAAAATGAAACACTCTTCATTGACTCTATTTGAACCAAACTCACAAGTCAGCGAGCATTTTTGGAATTCACAGGACACCCAGGACTTTTTCTGGAATTTTCATTGTGTGGAGTTTGAGGTTTCTGGCCCTGTACAGGTGCTGTGTGATTCTGGCCCCTAAGCCAGGTGCTCAGTAGCTGTGATGCCAGCTGAAGGCTTTAGATGTGTCTGGGAACAGCGACCACACTGACTTCTCACGGCAGTAGGCCTGGGACAAACAGGGACACTGAGGGAAGGGCTAGAACCAGGCTACCTCACAAGGCACCTGGGCTCAAGCAAGCCGAGCAGACGAGCTCACAAAGACAGAAGGAGCCATCGGTTCCACAGCGAGATGGAGGCAAGACCCATGGCTTCTGGGTGGCAATGCTTTGCAACTTTAAGTCAGCAACATTAGTACAGTAGCTCTCTCTGTACTAATGAGCATGGTCTGATGATCAAAACTCACCACACCTGGCTAATGGCCTTGAGTGGCGGACACCACGGGACACAGTGCACACTTAAAACAGGATGGGGACCTGTGTAAATTTTGGAGGAACCAGAGAACCACAGACAAACACACATAGATCCATCTCCAACAGCTGCCCCATTTCCAGAAAGACATGCCACTAAATTCTCAGCTTCAGAGTGAGGACAATGTTTTGACCTTTTCACTTTGTCCAAACCCAGAGTATTCCACAAACTGATAAATGAGCAAGTTCCACAGGGGACAGAACTCCCCTCCCTGCAACACACTGGGATCCCGCTACAATGCAACAAACAAGACACAGAACTCCCTTCCCTCAAAGCAAGCTCTCAGCCCCCTAGCTGGCCAGTCTCCAAGGCCATCTTGGACCATAGCTGAGTCTTGAGGGGACACTGCACAAGGACACAGACATGTCGATGACCGGTGAGAGAAATGACCAAGCTTTCTCTTCGGTGAGTAAACAGCTTTGAGTGGTTAAAAATTTCCATGAGTTTGTGGACAACATTATGGGTTCAAAGATCAGCAGGCACACAGCCTTACCTGTGGCTCCTTCATAGCTCCCTATTCTTCCTTGGGGAAACCCCTCAGCTTCTCAAAAACACTGGGCGATGCAGGAAATGATATTGAGTCCATTCCTGTCACATCCTGCTGTGGGCACTTCAGGCTACTTTTCCTTCGATGTTGAGACGCTAACTCAGATGCACCTGTGATCACCCCTCTTCTACTACATTCCTGTAGACTCTGGCTCCACACTGGGCGTCAGAGACCTCGGGCCCCATGCCACTCCCTCATGGATCAAAGACTACCACATGGAGGACCAGCCTGATATTGCCTGCTGGAACTTACTAAGGTTCAGCTGGATACTTCTAATGAAATGATACCAAATGAAAGTTATTTTGCCCTGATTCATTCTTGCTTGCAGAAGTAAAATGAATAAATTGTAAGCAAACGTTTCACCCCGACTTGCAAATGTCAAGTTCTCATTTAGGGTGTTGGCTTGGAAATGAGCACAGACAACCTACAAACCTTAAAATACTATGCCCTTGACTGCAGCATCGCTAGATCATAGCAGTATGTTTACCTCCATCTGTTGTTTAGCACGAGGCACCGGGCAGGAAAACAAAAGTGCCAGCACCCAGCTGCCAATCAATCACCAAACTGAGGCCTGTAGAAGTATCCTAGAAGGAAGGCTTTCTGGAATAGTCTGGAAATGAGTGGAAAATGAAACCTCCCTGCCCAATCTATTAAAGTGCAAATTAAGGGGAAACTGGGTCCCGGGGATGATGCCTAGTGGTCTCCCGTGGAAATCAGTCAGGACTACATGCCAGATATTCAGAGACTCGGTACTGGCCCAGGCTCGTGTTCACAGTAATAACAGTGCGGAATGAGCAGCCTGTGGTTCCGCATCCATCTGTCCCTTTCCGCTGTGGTCATGCCCCTCGTGTGGCTCTGACAAGTCCTAGGCACGCTAGTGCCTGGTGCTCCCTTTGAGTGCAGTCCTCCGAGCCAGAGGTCTGGAGAAGTGGCTCAGAGGAATGGGCCCCTCTCTCCTGGACTCAGAAGTAGTCTCGCCTCCTGCTCTCATCGCTGATGAAAGATGGGTTATACTGTCCAGGGAAGATGCATGAGTGCCTGGATCCGGGCAGTCCAGTGTAGGCCGGGTAGAGTCCGTTGCGTTCAAGTTCAGGGTTCCTCACGTTTGCAGGCTGGATGCCAAGGAGAAGAGAATAAAAGTTACTTTTTCTGGGACTTAAATAAGATGAAAAGATCTTACATTTTAATGAACTTAAGATGGGGCCAGCTATAAATTAAGATTGGGCTAGCTATAAATATCACAGCACTGGCTCACCTGGAAGCACAACTCCCACAGGTCTATTTATGTGTCTAGATGGGGGTGGGGTGGGCAGAGTCATGCCATCTGTTCCTGAAACTCACAATCTTTCTTTTGAAAAATTTTAAGTTACTTTTTCTAAATTTTATCTTATGTATATGAGTGTTTTGCTTGCATGTATGTCTGTGTATCACCTATGGGCCTGGTGCCCACAGATGCCCAAAGAGGACATCCGATTCCCTGGGACTGCAGCTACAGACAGTTGAGAGCTGCCATGTGGGTGCTGGGACTTAAGAGCTGAGCCGTCTGTCTAGCTCTCCCCACAATCTCCTTGCCTCTTTCTATCTTGTACTGGGATTACCTGGCATACAAGTTAATCTCTTTGTGGATGAGGGATACATTTCACTTTATTTTAAAAGGGGTTAAGAAACATTGGTCAGGCCAGGTATTTGAAACAACAGTAAAGGTTCCATGAGAAAGTGTTGAGAGCAGCATCAGAGGTCCATGCTCTTTCGGTGGAAATAAAGTACCTATGATACCTATGAGAACCCAAAGTGGCACTGCCTGTACCATTTTGTACCCACTGTGGGGGACAGTGGCCCTCAGGTGACAGCATCGTGCTGTAAACTCAGGTTCTGTTTCTATAAAGAGAAGATAGGGCCTGTCCTAGCTACTTTCGTGTCAACTTGACACATAAACTAGAGTCATCTGAATGGAGGGAACCTCAACGGAGAAAATGTCTCCATGTGATCTAGTTGTAGTACATTTTCTTAATTAGTGATTGATGAGGAAGACCTAGCCCATCATCCCTGGGCTGGTGGTCCTGGGTTTTATAAGAAAGGGGGCTGAGCAAGCCATGATGAGAGACACCCCTCCATAGCCTCTGCATCATCTGCTTCCAGGTTCCTGCCCTGTCCAAGCGCTCGTTCTGACTTCCTTTGGTGATGTGGCAATGTGGAAGTGTCCTCCCTCCCTTGCTTTTGGTCACGGGGTCTCACCACTGCAACAGAGACCCTGAATAAGAGGGTTCATCTGAGCTCCTAAGTAGGCTTAAGACTGCCATGGGACTGTGCACCGGGGTGGGGTCCCAGGATACTGCCTGCTTGTTTGTTATAACTATCAAACCACACCAGGGCTGAAGGGTTCCTAGCAAAGGATGTGGGGTTAAGATACACTTAGTACAGCATCAGTTAGGGACAGGAAAACATTCCTGATAGCAGCGGAAAGACCAAAGCCTGTTTGGAAACAGGACGTTGAACTGCAATCAGCCAGAGGTGCACTGAAGACGGGGTACACAGTCATCTTTATTTTCTCCTCCTTCCTTGTTCTTCCTCCTGGTTGAAATTTTTCAAAGAGCACACCGGACTAAACCGGCCCCTCCCATCCAAAGTCTGATCCTCCTGGTTCATCCCCATAGCAACCAGAAGGATTCCGGTTTCTATCGAGAAATGTCTAGCACCATTAATTCCCCACAGGGCAAGGTCTCTGTTTATTGCTACACAGCAAACTGATGAGAAGTCCACCTGCCATGTTTATTTTTCTGTTCCGATGTCTCCAGTTGTGTCTGCTTACAGCTGACACGGTGTGAGCTGAGGTGATCGGAGAAAGCAACAGCTCTATTGTCTTCAGTGGGACAGGAAAAGAGGCTCACGGCAGTGGTTCTCAACTGGTGGGTCGAGACCCCTGGGGTGGGTGGGTGGAACTACCCTTTCACAGGGGTCACATATCAGACATCCCGCATATTATTCATAGCAGTAGCAAAACTACAGTTATGAAGCAGCACCGAAAATAATTTTATGGTAGGGGTCACCACCACATGAAGAACTGGATTTAAGGGTCCCAACATTAGGGAGTTTGAGAACCGCTGGCTTAAGGTGGGCTCCCAGCTTTCCCGGTGGTGTAGTCTAGGGCTGGACAGGGTCAATCGTTAAAGACCTCCACGGTGAAGATGGCATTGAGTTATTCTTGCTGTGTCTTCCCAGCCACCAGCTCTGACTGACAAACCACAGGAGGTGAGATACGAGATAGCCAACAAAAAGGAGAGGGCAAGGGCTAAAACCTCACTCTTTCTTTCTTTGAACTTTCTGTTCCTGTTCTGAAAAGCAAGTTTAGGACTTTCGACTCCCACTCCCTGAAAGTAATTTGCCCTGATAATCACACCGGGAAATGGGATGCAGCTAGGCCATTGTTAAACAAATGGTCGATGAACTGTATCTAAGAGCTTTATGTCACTCCTCTCTGGAAACCTTAATTGATTTGATACTCCCACGAGGAGCCCTGAGCTTGGTCCCCCTGGGGGCTGGGCACAGACACCTACCGAGTAGTACACGTCTGTCATCTGCAGAAGGTTTTTGGTGCTCCCATTCTCGTGCATTTCAATGGCTTCTCGGCCCCATTCTTGTGAGCGAGGATTCTTGGGGTACTCGGCGTATGGGGACATTTGGAAGTCCCCACTTTTGAAGATGAGTTTACTTATGTCATTTTTACTCTTTCTGTGAGATTTTAAAGAAATGTGCGACAAATTCTATCAATAAATGGCCTCTGTGACGAGACTGATGAGTGTGTTTTGCAACATAAATTAGACTGGGACCCCCTCCCATTTCCGTGTGGTTGCCTATCAGAAATGCTAGTATAATTTAATATGAGTAAACAGCTGACATTAGGCGTTCCCTCTGCCATCCAAAAAAGAAAATGCAAAAGACCTCCCAACTTCAAGAGCACGAAGACAGTCCCAAAGGAGCTACTAGTGCCCTCTGGGAGCAAAGGGCACTGTGCCCTGGGGTAGCCAGGGCACAAGAACAGGATTCACAGGTAGCTGTGGGTGGGAAAGGAGCCCAGTGGTGGCCAAACATCAGTAGCCACAGGGAAAGCGTCAACACCGTTCTTGGTTTCCAGAATAGGGAGCCAGGTCTCAGGCAGCTCTGGCTCATGAAGACTTAGCCCATGGCTCACCTGCAGCTACTAGCGACCTGGGATAGGATTGGCCTCTCTACTCCCCAGCCAGTGTTTTATTTACAACCTCACAAACCACAAAACCTCAATGGAGGCCACCTGCTTACAGACTCTCCACATTCTCAGCCCAGGAGCCCTACCGGGAGGCTTCACTACCTAAAAACAGTAGGGCAACTGTCTGTCTTGTGGGCAGAGGATCAGGAATATTAATTATATTTGCTCTGAGTAAGAATATCTGAAGCTCATTGCTCCCCCTGCACTTTAAGTTTCTGGGGAAGGCATAGAAATGACTCAGCATTGTAAAAGCTCCATCGCTTCAGAACCAGCCTTTCCTTCAGTGACCCCCATTGCTGTCTTCCCCTTTCAGAAACCAAGAGTTCAGGCTCCCTCCAAAGATGACTACATAGTGTGATAAAGAATGTAGCCAATACACGGCTTATGTCCTCTCAGCCACCATGCTTTATTTCTCTACGGAGCTGCTCTTAACCGGCTTACTTTACTCACACTTATCTCTGGTGGCAACATGGGGAGGGGCTATCCCCATGCAGTCTGTACTCCTGAGGGAGGGAATGCTTAAGTTTTTCAGAGTGGCCTTCCTGGTGGCAGAGGATGCCTTAAATGCCCTTATCTCCCGGGCCAAAAAGATAAAGAGTGATTTTGGCAAGGTCCCTCCATCTTTTACATACAAATAATTCTTTCCATTTGATATTGTCTAAGTCAATGATTGCAATTTTCCTTTACTTGAACAGGTAATTGTAGACAAGGGGGAACCTAGCCTTCCCTTCTCTTCCCTTCCCATACAAACTGTGAACATCACTATTCATCCAGACCATGGCTCCACCTTCTTCACTGCTGAAACAGTTCAGGCAGCCCCCTCCCTCCCTGCATCTTGGTCTTCGTCTCTATATATACACAGTTTTGAGAGACGATTGACGCAACCATATGATTTACTCTTCTAATGGTTTTTAACATTCACAGTGCTGCAACCATCATCACTACTTTATAACCACATCGTCACCTACCCCTTAGCAACCATGCCCCGTTTTCTAACTTCTCTAACCTGACCTCTGCCCTAGACTCCAACCAGTCTACTTTCTGTCTCTATTAGATGCAGACTACTTTAGTAACTCATATTCATATCACGCCCCAGATGACCTTTCAGATGTCTTCTTTCATTTAGAATAAGACTTTGAAGGTCTGCCCACGTGTCAGTCAATGGCTGAATGTGGCTCTGGGGTATTCTTCTGTCTCATTTGTTTTGGATTCATCAGCTCACAGGTACTGGGACTGTTTCCCCTTTTGACTCTTAGGAAGAGAATTGCTGTGAATACACCAGGACAGGCTCTTCTGTGGATGTGTTTCCATCAGATCGGCCTTTAACTCCAGAAGATCCAGGTGTCTCTGCCTCCAGGGTGCTGGGATTAAAGGCGAGTGTCACCAGATCCAGTTGCTTCGTATTTTTAAAACAGCCTCCTGTATCCCTGACTGACCTTGCACTTGCTTTATAGCTAAGGATAACGTTGAATTATTGATTCATCCTGCCTTTATCTTCTGGGATCATAAGAGGACAACACCATGTTTAGTTTTGGCACGGTTGGGGAGCAAATGCTTCATGCATGCTAGGCAAGCATTCTACCAATGGAGTCACAGCCTCAGGCCTAGAGTTTGAAAGTTTTGAATTTGATAAAGTTCAATTCACCCTTTTACTTAGTTGGGTGTTATTTATTTATCTTTGGTTCTTTGGAGACAGGATTTTATTATGTATCCCAGGCTTGTCTAGAACTTGCTATGAATCCACACTGTCCTCATTCTCAAAGTCATTTTCCTTCTGCCTCAGTCTCCCCAGCACTGGTTTATTGAGGTTAAAAATTAATGCTCTGTATAGCACAGCTGATAAAACGGGATTTAAACTTGAGTTCTCATCACTCACCTGCAACAGGTAACAATGAGTGCGATGCCCAGGATGAGCAGAAGGCCACCTCCTGCTGCTGCTATCACCACAGTGATGAGCTGATAAGCTAAACACATCAGACAAAGGGACACATCAGACAGGAGGCCAGGAGTTATAAGCAGACCTCCGCCTCACCCCCACCTCTGTCAACATGGCCCTGGCTGCTCTCTCCCACTGCCCGCTCTCTGGTCCAGAAATCTCAAAGGCTAGAGTTCCACTGTTCATCCCCCTTCAAGGGTGGTGGCCCTGAAATTCTTCCTATAGGACAGTCCTAAAGATGTCACTGAGTCACAAAAGAGAAAGAGACAGTCAAGCATTAAGTTTCCTCAAACTTTTCTGAGAGATTTCACTCTTACATTTTTCTCTCTGTCATTAGGATGCCTTTTATGGTGTGAAAATTATACATCAGGAAATTTAACATGTTATCTTGATGGCGACAGTAAAGTTAAGGATGCTTGATTCACACTGGATGCAGAGACAGACAGATCTCTATGAGTTCAAGGCCAGTCTGGTCTGCAGAGCAGGTTCCAGGACAGTCAGGGTTACACAGAGGAAACCCCGTCTCAAAACAAAATAAAAGGAAACAAAACAAATAGATGCTAGATTCAGCTTTAGGGCCTTACTTGGTAAAACAGAACTGAAACAGGTTAAACTCTTCAATTTCAGAAGAAATATTACTGATCTGTTAAGTCCAGGGTCTGGGGTCATTGCATAAACTATGCTAGGGACCCAGGAGGCTCCTTATACATGAATTTAATTACCAGAAACTAGCACTGATAGAAGCATATACCATACATAATAATGCTGGAAGGTCTAATTAATTGGGTTTTATATCTGTATATTTGTAGCAAAATTATTTCTTATAAATTATATCTAGTCTTCCATTTCTTTCTTGTGGAAATACAATTAAAACTGGCTTCTCAGGTGGCAAGATCTAGTATGACAGGCCAATAGCTAGATTTTCTTTTTTAAAAAAGGTATTTCTTTTAGCTGGTCATGGTGGCATGTTCCTTTAATCCCAGCACTCAGGAGGAAGAGGTAGTTGAAGCTCTGTAAGTTCGAGGCCAGCCTGGTCTACACAGCAAGTTCCAGGACAGCCAGGACTACACAGAGAAGCCCTGTCATGAAAAGGAAAAAAATCTCATTACCGATGTTTTACTCAACTATTTATCTATGGCATGACCAAACTGGCCAGGAGAGGACATCAGATCCCCTGGCACAGGAGTCACAGAGGGTTGTAAACTACCATGTAGGTTCTGGGAGTGGAACCCAGGTTTAGACCAGACAGTGCTCTAAACCAGCCCCAAATGGCCAGACTTTTGAAGGAAATTAAGACTAAAACAATGATCTGTAGTCATTTTCACAAAGTCAAGGCTATGGCATAGTGCCACAGCTCTCACCCTGCCAGGATGGACTCCTGCATAAAGGGCTGTGAGCGGAGCAGGTGAAAGGCAAGCTATGGACCCTTTACCTAGCCTCTTACTAAATAGCAAAGAAGCCAGAATCTTAAGAAAAGGATTAGCACTGTAATATAGAGGAAGCGCCAATCATATTACGTAACCTCATCTTCAGAGGTTCTCCTAAAGTGAAGGCAAAACAAACCTCTTGGATTACATTCATGTTATGGTATGTGTATGACCGAGAGTGTGTATGTATGCCATGTGCACTCCCGCAGAGGTCAAAATCAGGCTTTGGATCCCTTGAACTGGACTGGCAAATGGCTGTGAGCCACCGTGTAAGAGCTGGTAATGGAACCAGGGTCCTCTGGGAGAACAACAAGTGCTCTTAACCACTATGCAATTTCTCAAGCCCGCGCCCCCAATATTTTTTTAAAGAATTAACTTTATCATTTGTGTGTGTGTGTGTGTGTCCCTCATGTGTATGTGACATAAGAGGGTGGCAGATCCCATGGAACTACAGGCAGTTGTGAGCAACCCAATGTAGGTGCTGAGAACTGAACTCTATTCTGGAAGAGCAGGTAGTGTTCTTAATCCCTGAGCCCTCTTTCCAGCCCCACATTTATCCTACAAGGTCTGACCTGAGCTCCTGTCATCTCTCATCTGGACAGCAAGCCTGAGCATGGCATTTCCCTGCTTTAAGAAACTTCAATGGCTCCCTACGTTCTACTTCTTTACTTACTTATTCAAATTTTGAGATGAAGTCTCATGTAGCACCCCTCTAACTTGCTATGTAGCCAAGGATGCCCTTGAACTACTGCTAGCCTCTACACCAGAGTGCTGGGATTCCAGGTAGCCCACACTGACCTCAAAGTTGAAATAATCTTCCTGTTTGCGCCTGGGATTACAGTCATGTGCTACAAAGCCTGGCTTCTTCTGTTTGTAAAAACCAAAGTCTAAGCCAGCCTTAGTGGAGCACACCTCTTTGATACCAATACTCAAAGAGGCAGAGTCAGGCGTCTCTGTGGTTCAAGGCTAGTCTGGTTTACCTAGCAAGTTCCAGGACAGCCAGGGATACACAGTGAGAACCTGTCTCAAAAAACAAATAAGGTTAACTCTTACTTATCCCATACATCACGCTAAATTTTCTCAAGTCTGGCAAAACAACCGAATATCCATCACTTGACCCCTGTAAATGGCTGCAGTTTACAGAACCTTCCTCTTAGAAATAAATGGTTTATTTGAAAAACAACATACTTTCCAGGAAAATGGATGGAACTGGATAACATAATTTTAAGTAAAATAAGCCAACTCAGAAATACGAACACTGTCTGCTTTCTCATACAGGGAAATATATATATTTCCCATGAATTGCATGAAAGTCAAAGGCAGACAGTGAGGTGGGTAGGAATCTGGTTAAATAGCCTAGGGTGACTTGGAACTCACTATGTAGCCCAGGTTGGCCTCAAACTCACGTTCCTCCTGCTCCAATTTTCCAAGTACTGCAATTACAAGTGTGTGCCATCATACCCTTCTTTCCCTTTAGGGACCAACTGTCACACACTACTTTTCCTCTTCCTTGTAAAGACATTCACCGTGGACTGAGTGGAGTGGCCCAACTCAGCTGTCTGGGACCTAGCTTGTAACATTCATATGCATGTATATGAGTGGGGTGAGCATGAAACCATGAGAGGGGCAAAAGGAGTGGGGGGGGCAACAGGACACATGTAACATGGGGAAGGAGGCTATGGGGAGGTAGAAGGGTACTGAGGGGTAGGTAGGGTAAGAGGAAGTAACATAAAGGAATTATGTTTGAAAATGCCACAGCGAATCCTGGAAATGCTAATTAAAATTTAAAATAAAGGAAAAATAACAAAGTAATAAACAGAATGAAGAGATCTCACATATCCTTTACCATCTCTACCAAGGGCGATGTCGTACAGTATCATTCTAACTGATCTCTTGGACACAAGGGCTTTAGCCTTCCGAGGCTTTGAAGAAAAGGGCATGTGGAATGGGCATGAGAGAGAGATGAAAAAAAAATCTGACCGAGGTAAGAAGAAACTAATCTGGAGCGACAGTGAGTTCTACAGCCATGAAGAGACAGTGGTCATAAACCAGAGAAATGGCTTAGAGGATGAGCCCATAAAAAGGTCACCAGAGGGACGCACTTAAGTATATTATAGCATAGAATAGTATGACACTACCGAAAGTGATGTAATAAGAGTATAGGAATGAAAACACTGCAGTTATAAACAGGGAGATTACAAGGCTGGAGAGATGGCTCAGCACTGGCTGCTCTTCCAGAGGACCTGGGTTCAATTCCCAGCACCCATATGGTGCCTCATAATCATCTGTAACTACAGTTCTAGAAGCTCCAACACCCTCTTCTGGCTTCTGTGGGCACCGGGTATGCACTGTACACACATAAACATGTGGGGAAAATACGCATTCTCATAAAACATAATCTTAATTTCAAAAGTTTAGAAAAATAGGTTACATTCAGTGGAGTCCAGTTCCTAGAGACACACATTCACACAGGTGACGTTTGTGCTCATCTGTAGGATATATGCAGGGCAACATACAAGCAAGTCACTGAGTTTGGTACATTTCCAGATTCTGATTTCATAGGTATGGAGCGAGGAGACCTGAAACTGTGCCTAGTAGGTGCTTGGCAACTGGGGCTGCTGGTCCTCACGCAGACGGCGTGTGGTGTACAGTGGGTGATGGACAATGTACATCCTTCTCTGTCCTTACCTGACACCTGTGCTCTGACTGATTTGGGGACTTGAAAAGGGAAAGTCAATGATTTTACATTGTTCTATGCTTTGACAAGTTGAAAAATTTAAAAAGAGAACAAAATGGCTGGCATGGTAGCACATGCCTGTAATCCCAGCACTTGGAAGGCTGAGGCAGGAGTATTGTGAGTTTGAGGCCATCTTAGGTTACAAAGTAAGTTTTAGGCTAGTATGGGAAATATGTTAGACCCTAACTTAATAAACAGATACATACGTACACACATACATGTAAACATATGTACATACATGCATACATATAAACACATACTCACATACATACACACACAATGCATACACATACACCCATACTATACACACATACACATACATGCACATACACACATGCATAGACATACATACTACTACATGCACACAGGAATGAGAGGGGCAACTCAAAGCTGTGTACCTGTGCAGAGGAAATGACACAAAGTTCAAGTAATAAAGGAGATATGCAAGTCTGAGGGGACAGCAGAGGACAAGGGACAGGTCTAGTCACACATTTAGGAAAGAACTGTGGACAATGGGAGAAGACACAAGTGTTGGAACGTGGGGTATAAACAAAGACAGATGTTCCATGGAAAGAGAAGAGGGTCAAGTCAGTAGAAGCCCTGTGCCTTGGGTGTGGGTGGCCCACATGCCCTTTGGAACTAAAGCCTAGAGGAAGACTCATCCTACCCCTTAAAGGATACATTCTATGAGAAGCAAGGGGTGGGGCCTGAGCAACACTAGAAAGCTAGCAAGACCCTTTAAAAAGACAGAGCACAGACTGGGCCCGTGCCTAGAATATCCCGGGATTGGACAACAGCCAGAGGGTATAGGAAGCTCAAGGTCATGCACTGGGGCTGGGAAACGCTGACTTATTTGTCTCACTGGATTCGAGAACAGAATGTGCCAAGAAATCTATCTAGGGACATTTCCTGCCTACAGAAAATCAATAGACTGGGCATGGTAGAGCACACTTGTAACCTCAGCACTCGAGATGGAGGCAGGAGGATAGTGAGTTTGAGGCTAGCCTGGGCTTTAGATGGTAAGATCACATCTCAGAACTAAAAGAGTTTGAAAACAAAACTCAGGTGGAGTGACAGCCCCCAGGAGGGGTGGTATAAACTCCGAGAGATGAGTCATGCCCTTCTCAGGGGCTTTTTATCACCAATGGGGAGACATCTAGGTGCCCCCAACGCCATAGCCAGGGCTGGGCTGAGACCTCAGATAAAGAGCCAGGTGGAAAATGTCTCCCAATGTGTGCTGCTGAGGCATGTAAAACAAGTGCCACTGCACATGTTATCTCAAGCCGTAACATTTTTATCAGCCACCATAAAATGTTTTATAATACTAACTTAAGTAGATATCAAAGTCACTACAGTTTAATGGCAAACTGTCAGTATTCATTCCTGAAGCAGGCTGGGACCAACAATCCAGGCAAGTGTCAGCTGGACATAATGAGGGTCCCATGGATAAATGGGGAGGGAAAAGTGGTCTCAGGCACCTGAGAGAAATTCTGGTTATTTTTAAGATCCCCACAAACAAATAGACTCAACTATTTTCTCACCATAAGAGCCAAGAGAACAAATGGATTCAGGGTATGCACTTCCTAGACAGACAGTAGCAATGACCACTCATATAAAAAAAAAAAACATACCAATGGCATACAACCCAGAACATGAGCATATGCAATACTGCCTTCCAGAATGACAGCTATTCTCCTGAGCACAAAAGCAGAAAGATCTAGAACCTAACACCCAGGAGGCAGAGGCCAGCCTGGTCTATAGAGTGAGTTCTAGGACATCCAGGGCTACACAGAGAGACTTTGTCTTTAAAAAAGAAAGAAAGAATGAAAGAAAGAAAGAAAGATAGAAAAAGTTGGCCACACAGTAGGAAATAGCAACTGGGGTGGGGTGGGGTCTTAACACACAGGAAATAAAATCATGTCTACTTCCAAGCTGATAAACTTAGATATTTACCATTCGCACATTTACCTGTGCAACAGGGGCAAAGCAACCCGGAAACTGTCTTTATTGCTATTATTCTTTTTATACTCTACCATATCAGGTATCACAAATTTTATTTCATAATTTTGAAGGTAACTTCCATCTTGAAAAATGCCAGGGCAAGCAAATCTAAAGTGGCTCAAACTGCTCTTTAGAAGGGCCTGGATCACACCTGCCACACTGTCAGCAGCCTCGGAAGTCACCTGCTATGAGGAGAGCCTTATCTTACACTTGCAAAGCTCAAGGTGACTTCCGAGGCTGGTCCTTGTACCTAGCTGGCACTGGAAGTCTCCTGACTCTTACACTGTCTCTTGCTCACTGTAGTCTCAATGGCTCCCCCCAATCATCTGTCTCTCCTGTGCTGTGGTTGTTAGCTTCCTGGCAGTTCCTGATTGCAGCCTGGGAACATACCTGCCCAACAGCTCCTTTCCTGTGTACTTTGCAAAACTAATGTTGACTTTCCTCTTTTTTCCTTCAATAATTTGGGCACACCCACTTACAAACCATTCCTAAACCACCATGGATCTGTGGCTTCCCCAAGACTCTAAATGGACCCTAAATGATCCCCCCCCCTGCGACCCCCCGGGCATCCTTCTTACACTCACTCCACCCCTGTATCTGCACAGTCTTTCTAAACCTCCCTCCACTTCCAGTATTTCCAAGAAACACTCCTGAGTGTCTTGGGTTCTCCGTGAGGTGTGGGCTCTGCTCCATGCCTCCCACAGCATTCTCCCGGCACCGGAGGAGCTGTGCACAGGTGTTTATTTCTTCCCCTAGAACTGAGATTGGGAAGGCTCTATGCAGGGCTCACCCTCTGTTTTTGTCACACACCCAGCCAGGCCTTAAGCACACAGTGGATAGGGGAGGAGGCTGTCAGCAGGCCCGGACCCACCCAGTCACCTTTCTCCACTTCGGGATACTTACGGTTTCCACAGTTGAGACCACCAAGGCCAAATGGGCAACTGTAAGTCAAGAAAAAGACGACTCAGGTTCAAATCTCAAAAGCTATAATGGACGATGCAGGGAGACATTTCTTTGCTTAGGATAGGTTCTTTATTAGGATGGTCTGTCTTTTTGTTTGTTTGTTTGTTTGTTTGTTTGTTTGTTTTTCTGTGATGCCCTGGCCATCACGGAACTCATCTATAGACCAGGCTGACCTAGAACTCAGGAATCCACCTGCCCCTGCCTCTCACTGCCTCCCAAGAGCTGATTAAAAGTGTGCACCACCACTCTCTGCCTGGATGGTCTGTCTTTTAGGATAGTTTTAAAAAACCATTTTTAACAACTTCATCAGAAAAACCGAATTGGGAACCCACCTCATACAGGTTTCATTTTCTAGCCTATATCCATCTTCACACGCTGAAAGAGAAAAGGAAAAGCTGTGAGGGCCCACAGGACCAGAACTCACATTTATCAAACACCAGCCACCTGAAACTCCACAAGAATATTCTAAAGGAAAAAGTTTTTCAGTTACCTATATCCTGACCTGAACACTGTTGCCATCTCAACTCTTCAAGTGATCAAGACACTTTCCTTGACCTCATTGTGGCTCAGTCTCCCATCAGAGGATTATGAGAAAATAGTAATAACAATGTTTTCTCAGAGAAGGTGGTACATCTTAGCCCTCTTCCATGAGGAGGGAGAAGTTGTGGGCGACTCCTTCTGGAATCCAGTCCTGGCTGGTGCGCAGGTTTTCATAACTGAATGCTACCCTATAATCTGTGCCAGAGAGTCTAGACATTTCTAGAGGTGCCCTAATTTCTACCTGGCCATAACATAGCTTTGACCCCTCTAGGACCACTGAATAAGCTAAGGTTCAGCTCTTCGACTGGCTTAGTAACTCTCAAGCTTATTTGATCACAGGATACTTTCAACAGTACAATAACTCAACCTAACACCAGGAATGATAATGCATGCTTGGATGAAAGCAGATAATGAAAAATGGCCCCATACACAAATTCCTCGATGCAAGGGATGACAAAAATTTGATTCATAATACATATCACATAAGAGATTAGATAAAAAAAAAACACCCACTGAACGTAGAGCTGCCAACAGGGAGCAGACACAGTAGGGGAGAGTTGTCCAAGCATGGGCTGGGGATGGGATGGCAGGTACACACCCTGCAGGCTGGGACAGGAGGTCTCCATGTTCTGCCATGAATTTGTGCATAACAGTATCATATGTGTAGGAGTGCTTAATATTTTTCTTCTTTATGTTTTAATGCTAGAAGCTAAATATTTCTAGCATTCATTTTACTGTCACACATCATCTATTAACTGCAATAGTTTTGTGGAATATAGTTTGAAAAGCACTGTTCCAAATCACCTGAAATTGGTCTCATCACAGATCATCAAAGAGCAGTGAACACATGATGGGCTCTGCAGACTCACTTCCTGAGCTACGGTCTCACACACTCCGGTCTGTTTACCTTAAGCAGCAGTCACAAGAGATCCCCACAGCATCATCTATTGCAGGATGCCATGGACCACACTGTTGCAATACCACAGTAGCCAGAGAAACCTCTTGTGGGCCTCCATGCCTAAATGACGGAGTCTCCTGGACCGCTGGTGTGCTTTGCTCTATGCTGACTTACGCCTTGAATACGCACATTTGCTGTCTTTCAATTCACAATTCCCCTGCTTCAGCTTCCCACAGCTGAGGTCACTGGCATGTGACACTATGCCCATCACCTTTCTTTTTCTCCCTCATGACATACCTAACCAGCCAAATCTGTGACTTTTTAATGATAATAAAAAACATCACTTCAGCAGGTTGTGGTGGTGCATGTTTTTAATCCCGGCATTCAGGAGGCAGAAGCAGGTCTTTGTGAGTTTGAGGGCAGCCTGGGCTATAGCCAGAGCTACATAGTGAGACCCTATCTTGAGAAGAAAATCACTTTATTATTATAGTGAACTCACAAACAAAAACACCACTCATCTACCTACACAAATACACACTTATCCTGTCCAAAATCCTATACGTTTCAACAAACTTCTATACAGTCGGAACGATTGTGCTAAAGCCACAGAGCTCCACTTAGGGTTTTTGTTTGGTTTGTTTGAGACAGGGTTCTCTCTGTAGCCCTGGCTGTCCTGGAACTTGCTTTGTAGACCAGGCTGGCCTCAAACTCAGAGATCCGTCTGCCTCTGCCTCCCAAGTGCTGGGATTAGAGGCGTGCCCCACCACCACCCAGCTTCCCTCAGGGTGTTACACTTTAACTATCAATTGCATTTTTTATGCAGTTATCTACCACAGAAAAGAAAAACTTTCAACACAGTTGAAACTAGAAAAATAATTAGCTTTATATGCTATTTCAAGAATCATGTCCTTTTGCATTCAGATCTCTTCATTATCTGGTATTAGCCTTACTAGGTCTCCTTTCTAAATGTTACACTATACCCACACTTAGAGCTGTTTGTATATAGACATGTCTACATTACAGGCCAGAATCTGCATATAAGGGAGAACATGCAGTTTTCTTTTCTTTTTTTTCAAAAATCGGGTGAGCTTCCTTAATATGATACCTTCTGGTTCCCTGTATTTCTTGAAAATTTCATGCTCTCATGTTTCTTTACAGCTGAATAATATTCCATTTCATTTTGTATATGTGCCACATTTTTATTATCTGTCTGTTGGTAGACGTCAAAGTTGGTTTCGTTTCCTTGCTATCATAAACAGAGCAGCAATAAACATATATGCAAATATCTCTCTGGTAGGGCATGGGGTTCTCTGGGTAGATACCAGGAGTGAAACAGCTGACTCATGAAGTTCTACTTTAATTTTTAAAGAAACTTTCAAACTGACTTCTACACTGACATATTGATGTGTACCACTACCAGCAGTGAATAGGGGCTCCTCTCCCCACATCCTCTCTGACATTTGCTGTCAGATCTGCTGATGTGAGCCATCCCAAGTGGGGTGCGGCACTATCTCTAAGTAGCTTTGACTTGCTTTCCCCTGACGACCAGGGATGTTGGCTCTGTTGTGCTACAGTGGGGCTGTGCGAGTGAGGGAAGCCCCTGAGGGATGATTTCTGGCTCACACTGAAAGGGTTCTCCATGGGAGAAGCTCACCTCTCCACCTGCCTCAGCACTGAGGTGGGCTGATGTCACCAGTGTACTCTATTCTTAACACCGGTACATCCTGGAAACGCTGGTACATCCATCTACACACCCAACCCTCATCTGCTGGGTGGGGGCTCTCCTCTCTTCGCTGTCACCCAGCCATGTGCAAGGGCCATCTGTTGTCCTGCCTGTGAGCTCCAGCTGGTGGCTTGTGCTATTCTCATTTAGCATCAAAAGCATCCTGGCTCCCTGATGTAACGACATTTCTCTAATCAAGAGTGGGTGAGGTCGCTCAGTGGGTAAAGAAAGACATTGGCCACCAAGCATGCTGACCTGAGTTTAAGCCCCAGGACCCACATGGTGGAAAGAGAAGTGACTCCATCAAGTTGTCCTCTGATCACCACATGTACTTACGACAAACAAATGAACAAATATATACATATATATGCATAACATATTTTTTAAAGGGTATATCCACCATTTGTCAAAGACTGAGTATTCCTGTGTACCTGGTGTTGCTCTTGGGACTCTCAGGGAAAACCTTTCTGGTAAAGACAATCCCAGTTCCTCACATACCCCAGAGGGACTCTGACCCCATAGCACTAGAGACAGAACGAATGTAACAAGAATTTGCATATATGGCCTCACTGGGTTTCTCCTACTGCTAAGGTTCAAAATCAAGTTTAAAGTACACTAAGTCGAGACGTATTGATCCCAAGACACATTTGTTGCCCTATGGTCACTTCAATAGACACTTGAACCCTACCTACTACAACGTGCTGAGCCCTATCCTAGATACAATCTTCACTCCTAAAGTAGTTGTCATTGAAGAGATGAAGACTGTTAGAATCTGGGTTGCAGAGATGGCTCAGTGACTAAGAGCCAAGAGACAGGCCTTTGGCTCCCAACCACCTTAACTCCCACTTTGGAGGATATGATGCCCTCTACTGGACTCCTAGGGTACTTGCACATGTGTAGCACATGCACCAACACACAACACATAAAATTAAAACAAAATTTTGGCCGGGCAGTGGTGGCTCCCGGCCTTAATCCCAGCAACTGGGAGGTAGCGGCAGGAGGATCTCTATGAGTTCAAGGCTAGCCTGGTCTACCGAGCAAGTTCCAGGATGGGTTCTTAAACTACACAGAGAAACCTTGCTCTAAAATCCAACACCCCCCAAAACAAAACAACAACAAAATAAATAAATCCATAAATAAATAAATAACAAAAAATAAAAATTTGCCAGGCCTGATGATGCATGTCTTTAGTCCCAGCACTAAGGGGGCAGAGGAAGGATGATCTCCATTCAAGGCCAGCCAGGACTACAGAGTGAGACCCTGCTTTAAAAAACAAAGCACCTCCCAAAAACCCAAACATTTAAAAATGCTAGTCTCACTCTGGTCAGAAGGGGGAAATAGGTTTCTAGAATTGATGCCCGCATGATAGAAGGAAACTAAGCAGCCCAGGAAGGACACATTTTAATTTTAAATGTCTGTGCTAGCACAAATGGCCAGAAGATGTCACTGCTAGGCCATCTGAAGTGCTAGAGTCCACAAAACTCCAGTATCCAGTCATTAGAAGCTCATGACCACTGCTTGAGGCAGGGCCTCACCTGTGGTCAACAACAAGTCCCCAGGCTTGTCAGGGTCTTCCCATGCTATTTCTTAGTCATTACTGGGTAAACATAAGATTGGTAGCACCTGTGTCACTTAAAGCACACATACTGAAAATGATAACCCAAAAAGGATCACGGTGACATGTGCCTGGAATCTTTGGGAAGCTGAGACAGGAAGATTGGGAGCTTGAGGACAGCGGAGCTACCTAAAATGCTGTAATTCAAGCTATCCTTTGCCAAGTTTTTATGTGGTATACACACATGCCTCACACAGACATCACTACACCATCTTTGCCATCCTATCCAAGCTACATATAAAATTGAAGTAGAAGACCTTCTTTTAGAGGCTTATCCAATGCCACCTCTGACCAAGGTTGCCTGTAAGAGACAGTTAGGACATTGCCCACTTGGAGTAGAAAGAAGTGGCCCAAGCCAGTCAGGAGCAAGGGGGGCAGGCAGGGCCATTCTTGAAGTACTGTTCATGAAGCCAGCTCCTCTACACATCCACAATCCTGCTCACCTTTGTCACAGACACCAAAGCACACAGCACAGTACCACAACACACACCGACTTCAACACTGTCACTTTCCTACAAGCAGCTGAGCTCCAGCCCCCACTTCTAAGGAGGGTGGGAAAGCAGATAAAAAGGGGTTAGGAGCATTGTCTTCAAGGCAAAGCAACAGTCTGGCATGACCATGCAATGCTGAGAACCAATCACACCAGGCCCGAAGCTACACTCGGAAAGCGGGTGTTCCTATCACAGGTCCCATGTGGAAGGCTCACAGGGGACTTCGAAAGAATTTTCTATCTGAACCTAACACCGTCAGAAAGTCTAAGGTTCAAGATGAAAGTGCTTCCCGAAACATATTTCTATATTCTTTTGATGAAATGAGTCCTCTAAGGAGAAGTCCTGACCCAAGTGGCATGTCACCTTGCTCTTGTATGTGATTTTTCTCTAGGATCCCAGTACATCTGCCACAAGCAAGGGTTGACTGAGTAGGAAATCTGTGCCGTCCCATTGTGACTGTGAAAAAGTAGCCTCTGTATTGCCAGGCTGGTTGATCATTAAACGGTAGCAGTTTTCGGAGCCAGGGAACATGGCACTCTGGATCAGAATAAAACTGATTTCAAGGCAGACTTTTTGAACCACACTCATTGAGGGTGGACTTCATCTCAAATGGAGTGAATTTCTTCAGCTTCTAAAAGACTGGCAGAATGAGGCTGGAGAGATGGCTCAGAGGTGAAGAGCACTGGCTGCTCTTCCAGAGGTCCCAGAAACCACATGGTGGCTCACAACCATCTACAATGGGATCTGGTGCCCTCTTCTGGCCTGCAGGAATACATGCAGAGCACTCATACATAAAACACAAATGAATAAACATAAAAAGGCTGGGCAGAATTAGATTTCTATTCTCCAACACACCAAGAAATCTTCTAAATAGTAACCCATCAAATCAACAACAACAACAACAGTAAATTCAAGAGCAAGTCCCCAAGTACCGCTTTAGACACAGCCTTCTGTCGTTCTCAGGACAAAGTGTCACTGCATTCATTTCAAAGAGGAAACTGAGGCTCAGAGAAATCAAGTGCCTGCTTAAGATGAAACCTAACTGACGAGGCAGACTGTGGCTCTGACCCAGTGTCCTGGTGTCCCGGGCATCAGTGAGTACACTCACTACTCAGTCACGGTGTCCCCTGAAAAACCCAGGCTCCGTTCTGTGCCTGCATTTTCACCTTCAGGGGTTAACAAGCAACACACAAAACTTTGGGAATAAAAATATTTTTTCTAACTTCTTCCAACTGGAAGAGAGGTGAAGGGGACCCTTGTGACAGCTTTCATTCTCTTTCCTTCTGAAGAGGTCTGGCTAACCCAGCATGCACAGGGAGATACATGCAAGGAGATAGTGTATCTGCTTGTGCTGCGAGTCAACTAGCAAGAACCAGTTACCCCCAATTTAGAAGTGTCACCCCCAGAGCAGAGACTACCAGCATGGCATGCACTGCATCCCCCTGTCTCAGGAAGGCATCTAGAACTGCTGGGAACCCGTCGCTACCTCGGCAAGAGTGATCCATCTTGTTGAACTGAAAGTAGCCTGACTTGCATTGACACAGGGCGACGCCATCCAGGTCGGTGCAGATGGAGGTCTCTCTGTCACATTCTGGACTCTTCCGCTTGCACAGGCTGCCCGCTGGGATGTGGAAACAGGACAGTGAGAACAAACCAAACCTCTTCCTCACACCTTAAGAGGCACGAACTTGTTATTTCAAGAGGCTAAGAGTCTCCGTGGAGCCATAGTCCTCCTCTCAGAGGCAACAGCCTCTGCCACTTGCTTCCGGGTCACCGCTAGTAAATACATCTTCACAAGCATTCCCTGTGAAGAAAGCAAGTTGAGGAAGGAAAGGGCTCTGCCCAACCTACAGATGCAGCCTCACTGTGGTATATTCTGTACCTGCACTGGGTGTCGGGCAGGTAGGGTTTCTGGAACAGACCCAGAAAATGTGACCTTGTTTTTAGCGAGTTAAGAGCTTGGACCAAACCCAACCATTTTGGGCCAGAGAAGTCTCAAATGGAAGCATGTCTGGGCTCTGTGTGTCCTCAGGGTCCCCAGGACCAGTCCTTGAGGTAGGGCAGCTTGCTTTGTGCCCAGGAGGATTTATTACAGGGACAGGTTTGAATGGTTCCCCAGGGTTGGCAGGAAGCTGTGTGTCTGGCTGTCTTCACGCTACAGGGGTGACTTCTTGAGGTTTATTCAGCACTGAGTCTTCAGTGCAGAGACCAGCAAGTGAGCATGTGCAGGGGTGAAGGGGGTGGGGGGTGTCACAATGGCCCATCAGTCACCACACCATCACCAGGAGAAACAGAAACAAGCAAGGAAGGAGGCCAGCTTTGAGGCCACTTCCACGTTCATTTGTGGGCTTTATTCACTGTGTGGATGATGAAGAATCAGCTTGTTAGTATCAGAAGTATTCTCTGCTGGGTGCCTCCTTTATGAGGTTTTATATAGCAAACAAAGTGAAGGATACAGTTTACCACCCAAGATAAGAAGGGGCACACGTAAATGGGTGTACAGAAAAAACAGACCTATGAAACCAACTCAATAGTGGCTAGTAACTTATCCACACATGCACAAGGTAAAGTAAGGCAGATGTGTGCTGTTGCTGTTGGGGGTCAGCAGCAAGGTCAGCATGGGGGAGAGCTGCCATGAGATGGGCAGTATGAAAGGCGGGTGTCAGTGCAGGCACAGTCTCTCCTCCTGCATCTCAAAGAAGAGGCAAGAGCTCTTCAGACGGTTCTGATTATTATGGCTGCAAGAGTAACCCTTGTCTGCGAAGTTCTAGTGATGAGAGCTGATGCAGGGCTTGACAGCCCTCGTGGAATTCCCAGCATCCACCCCTTTGAGAGTCCTGAGAGCTGAGGATGGGAGACAGCCCCGGTCCAAATGGGGTGAGTTAGGGTCCAGCTTCAATTCTCAGTGCCGCATTGCCTATCTTTATCATCGGAAGCTGACGTATTAAATCTGAGTTCCTTTGTTCACTATAAAAAGTCTGTATTTAAGGGGAAACTTTTAAATGGAAAAGAAAATCTCACCCAGCAAACTCTACGGAGCTAGCACCAGGGAGGACCTTGGCCTCCACAACCTCTCATCTCACTTCTTTGAAGGCTCTGCCAGTCAACTAGTTAACAGAGAGCAACACCTCTTGATAAATCCATGTCCAGGCCATCCTAGCCTGCGAAATGCCCGGTCTCATTAGGCATTTTCTGGAAGTCAATGTTAATTTTTCATTCCATCCTGTCTACTGATCTGGGATGCTAGCAAAGATATTCATTGCTATGCCAAAGCATCCATTTCCCGCCCAACATCAGATTCTTGTTTGAACAGGAGGGCAGTCCTGCCCCTGCTACGAGGAGCCAGTTTCCTCTGCCTTCTCAAAGATCATTTTTCATAAAGCCATCCAACAGGACCTTGCAGAGTCTCACTTAAATCGACCCCTGGTGGATGTGAGTCTTCGGCATTCACAATTCCCATGGTCTTTCCTGGCCATAGCATCCATCAAAACAGACAATGGGCATACACATGAGTCTAAGGCGGAGGCATTCCGCAGGGGATTTCCACAGTCCCTAAACCTCAGCAGACCATGAGAACTAAAGTGCTTTGAAAGGATGGAGGCGGACATTCAGTGAACTGAAGGGAGAAAACGATGCTTAGCAATGCCAATGCCTCGCTGCCCAGATGCTGGAGACCCAGGTGTGTAGAACCTGCTGATCTAGCCTTCCTCTCTGGCTCCAGAAAAATTACCAGAGCTGGACTTCTTGACTAAACCTAGAGAAGGTCTGGAGGGAAAACAAGGGTGTGAACCCAATTTTGGCCCACATGGATGGCTGTCTTTATCCTCAAGGGACTGGAAAGGAGCAGTGAGGACGGCCTCAAGGTGACAGGAGTCTTCCCATAAGCCACACGGGGGCAGTCCAAACAAGGCAGCTGACTGAGTAGGCACAGCTAGGAACAGGCTCTTACAAACCCACATAATCCAGCCACTTGATCTGCATGTGCTGGCAACAGAAAGCATCCTGGCTCCATGCTGACCACACAATGTGCAGGCCAGAAATGGTTAGCAAACTGAAGGGTACCTACCTCAGTGGGAGAAAAAAAAAAAAAAAAAAAACGGTACCTTTGAGTCCTTGGCAAGAGAAACAAAAACATAAAACCAAAGCCCTTCAAAGTTTCTAGCACACTGTAACAGGGCATGAACTTTGAAACAAGACACTCTGACTCGACTATGTTTAGTCCGTTTCCCCCACCCCCAACTACTAAACAGCCAACCCCCAAGAGCTTATCTGACAATGGAGGGATAAGTGCCAACTCCCAAGCTCTGCAGTGCATTTGCTCATGCAAGGAAAGCCCCTGGACCAGAAGTTATGAAATCCTGACCTATTGGGAATATCCTAGACCAACCAGCGGATATGGCATCAAAACCCGATACCTTCAATTTATGTCTAACATCTGGATGCCAGATGGGGAGGCTTAGCTTAGGCTCTCTTTCCTTTGCCAACCCTCATCAGTGGTACAGCGAACTAACCAGAGTCCACTTTGATCACTTACAATGTGCCAGCAGGGACTAGCTTTCTTTGCCTAGAGGCACTTCTGATTCCAGAAAGTTTCCTTCTCCCAGGTGTAAAACTATCCCCACAAGATGCAAGTGTGCCTTCCAGAATTATCTTTAATCATCTTCATTGGCCTAACCCTGACACAGGGCAAGAGCCTCTACAAAACAAGAGCTAAGGAAGGGAGGCCCTCATCATTACAGCATTCCTGCTATACACTCTTTGATTGTCATATGTTTTTAAAGACAGGAAACAAACAAAAGATAGGTAATACTGCACACAGGTCTTTGTTTGTTCTTAGTAATCACCATACGAAGGTTGACGGATCATTGACAAGTCTATTCGTCACTCCCTGTCTCCCTAGGAGACAGGAGTAAGCTCCTATAGCATCGTCTCACTCCAGCACTCACAGAAGAAGCAGAAGGAGCCAGACGCCAAGGACTAGACACCTAAGGGCCATGTGCAGACAGAACTGTGTGCAGCTGAGAATCCTGAAGGCCTATGCTTCAGACCTGCTAAAGGTAGGCTCTGTGAAGGAGCTTGCCTGAGCCCCAAACACCTCCCGTGTCTCCCCGCTCTATGTGAGTCCTAGAGGAATCCCTCCTTACCTCTAAAGATCCGCCTCTGAGACCCCAAGAGCTGGCAGACTTCAGCAGAGGACCTGCAGGAGTTGACATATTTCTGGATCCCGTCAGCCAGGTCAAATAGTGTCACATTGGAGGCCAGGGCAAAGGTGGACTGCAGTGAGATCGCCAGTGTACTGGGCTCTCTGTGGGCAAAGTTAGTAAGTGAGGCCTTAACTGACCAAAGGTGACATGTGAGTCCCAGGCGGTTTGCAGGTAAATGTTACTGCCGTTCTCCTGCGAAAGGAGAGCACGAAGGTCCAGTGACCTCGGCCTTGGGTTACCCAGTGGATTGGTCATTAAAACAGAGGCCGCCTTCATTTTGATCACCCATGTGGGAATAGCCCCTCTATTCCATCGACCAGTTCACAAGCAAAAGAAATTCTGTTTCTTACCTAGACACGCCAACTGTAGATCGGATATAACCAGGCAACGTTGAAAAACACAAGTTTAACTGAAACGAAGAACAGGGCTGTCAGACAAAATCCCTGAACCAAGAATCCATTTCCTATTTTCAGGATAAAATAGGTAGTTCCTAGCCATCAAGTTATCAGCAGGCAGCCTTATCTAAAGCACTGTAGCCTTGTGTTCCTCTTCTGAATATCTTTCTGTTGTTCCCCGAGAACAAAGGGAGTAGGGCAGACAGTGGGGAAATCTTGGCAGGAAATGATGTTCAGAGAAACACCCTTGGAAACAAAACATCTTCAAAGGAGAAAATCCCTTCTAAGATCCAGGGTTTCAAAAAACCCCAGCAACTGTTTATTTGGACTCTGCATAGTGAGCAAGCTTGCTGGAAAAGCTCAGCTTCTCTCAGCTCCCCAGGTCTGAAGGGCCCCACAGGCTCCTCATAACCTGCAATGAGTTGACCTCACTCAAAGATAGGTCTTCCTCAGAAAGTCTCTCTGTGGGAGGTTACATGACGTGGGTCAAGAGCTCTTTTGTTGAGAACAAATTAAGAGCGATGTGTTTGCCTTGTGCCCCAGAGAGAACAGGAAGACCTCAGCCACATAAAGCATTGTGCCTGCCTCCTTAGCAGCAGCCTCCACAGTCAAGCTGGGCCTCCTTAGCAGCCCTCCACAGCCTGGAGATCCCTTTTATGGAGCAGAGAGTCTCGATATCTCATCCCAGACAGACCCACCTGTCTTCAGAGTCAATGTTCCAGAGCTCCCTAACTTGGGAAGATGGGGTCAAGTGGGGGATATTATCAAATGGTTTGCAGCTCTGTACATTATTACTTTATAGTCTAAGCGCAATGGTTTATCATTGTTGCTTTATTATTAACTTTTTATCCAGGTATGAACAGAATACCATCTTGGAAAAGCCCATGCTGGTAGTGTCCAGATGGCTGTTTAATTCTTTATGTTAGTTGGGTTCAGGTGTGTCATGACTCAGTGTATGATATGGTGACATTTGGCCAAATAAGCAGGAAATATTAGGCAAGTTGCATAGTACAGTGTAACATGAAGGACTTGTACTTTTGCACAGGGCTCTGATCTCCTACACGGTGTAAGAAGAGAATATTTACCTGCAGGATAACCAGGAAGCAGCCATGGGAGAGCAATGGACCCACTTTTGACTAGAGAGATCATGCTTCTCTCTGTCCTTGAAGGCAGTTTCTAAGACTCACAGTGTCCTTCTTGATAATAACGATTTTAGTGAGCTGGGACTCCTGGGCCATGCCAGAGTATCTGGCATAGTCCTTATGACTACCCATGTGATCACACTAATAGTATGAACAATGGAGGGAACTCTGGGTCTAGGGACTAAAGTCAGCCATATGGACAGTCAACCACATCTATTTATGGCAAAGTGCAAACAAATGCTTCAGACACTAAGGCTCAGGTGAGCATTGTGGTTGGCAATACTCCATATTGCCAAGAGGTATCAGCAATGTCAATAACACCACAGGGGCAGAGCAACCAGAAGCTTTGCATTTGGGATCCCCAGACTCTGCCCCATGCATATTGTCCCTTAGCTAATTTTAATTTAAGTCCTTTTAGTGCAATGAACCACATATATGAAGATATTGGTCTTCAACAAGTTCTGTGAGTCCTCCTAATAAATTAATGAAATTTAGAGTGCTCTTAGAAAGCCCAAAACTTGCAGTTAGTGTGAGTAACACAGGTGACCTAGGAGACTGCTTTCAACTCTGCTTCCACTTGGTGTGGACTCGGACAAGGCCATCAATTTCCAGAGTCTCCCAGTCTTCCATCTGAAAATGTGTCACCTACCCTCTTACAGGACTGAGCATCTGACATAGTCCCTGTCATACATTAAATGCTCAGTAGACATAGAAATGGAATTAAAACACAAATAAAATCCACAGTCCTATAAGAACACTTAATTCCTGGCTAATATATGAACTCCAATTTAATGTAATAGCAAATCTAACTTTAAGTCATGTCTAATTTAGTATAATGGCAAATTGCAGTTCCCAAACACCAAATCTTTGACTTGGGCAGCAATGGAGATCAAAATATATTGTCTGAGTTTTGTTTTTACTTCTTTTTTTCTCCATTTTAAAAAGAAATAATAGCAAAGAGGGAAAGAGCAGCATCTAAGGCCCTAGATAATTTTCATTGTGAGCTCATAAGTCCAGTTAATTGGAATTAGTAGAAGGCCACTGGCATCCTTCAAGGAGAAAGAGTGACCTTTCTAAGCTCTGAAGACACAGGGAGAGAGAAGGTCATATCAGGTGTCAAGAGGGGATGTGTTTCTGGATCCTTCCTCTTTACCAGAAGTGCACACTGGTGCAGGGCATCACCATGTCTGTTAACTGTGTTTACACATGAAAAAGAAACCTCTTAGCAGATAGGGACTGTGCCTGTAGATGTATCTGAGCAGCACTCATCCTGGACACTGCAGATCCCAACACTTCCTATTTCCCGGGTACTTTTCGCTTCACCTTGAACTTTTTCTTCTAAGGACAAAAGCAAGTTTGGGGAATATAGATGATTCTGACTAGTGCCCAATTCTGAACGAAATCTGGTCTAGAAAACAATGGGTGAGCATGAAGAGTCCTTTCTGGAGACTTACTGTTTGAGCGATCTCGTTTTCAACCTCGTGAATGTCAGAATGGTTTTCCACAGTAGTATTGAGAAAAGTCTTCTTTAATTTAAACTCAGTCACGAAGGTTCTAACTGAAGAGGAAAATGTTGCCTGTTAAGCCATACAACAGAGAGACCAACACAAGGCTATGTATTTGTAAACCTCTGCAGTGGCCAGCTTTATTCTCATACAGGACAATCTGTGTGAGGATGAAGACCACACCTTCCTGTTCTAGAAGGTAGCCAAGGGGCGACAAAGGGGCAGGACAAACATTTGTAGTGGGTGTAGACCCCAAGGTGCTAAAGACTCTACAATTATCAGACACACAGTGAAAACAACCCACATTAGAAATACCACTGGGTCCAGAAATGGGGTAAGCATTCCCATTTTTAAGGCCTATTTCACTCATAAAATAAAATTCTAGTTAACACCAATTTGTGCTGATTGGCTCTGAGGGGAACAGGACTTGGAAATGGGCAGAAAACCAAAAATTAGTACTGGTGGACTCACTGAAACCCCGCCTTCACAACTTGTTTCTAGAACTGGCTCTTATCTTTCATTATATTAAATTAATGTCTAAATTAGTACTGGTGGACTCACTGAAACCCCGCCTTCAAACCTGTTTCTAGAACTGGCTCTTATCTTTCATTATATTAAATTCATATCTTTCCCTCTGGATGGAAGAAAAATAACCCAAAACAGCCTGCGAGGCCTTTCTAAAATGGAAAGCCTGCATGCTGAATTAAGAGGAAAGGCCAGCAAATGAGCCAGGGAAAACATCTAACATCTTAGAGTTAACTGTCTAAAGCCCTTAATCCTTATTCAACATCCTTTTGCTTATTCTACAGTTCAGTGAAGCCAGCTGCTTAGGACTCTTTCTGAACAGCAGGCAGCTCTTTGAAAACACTCTTGGCCAAGGGAAGGCATTTCAGCATGCTCTAATTTGCATGTTCCTGTGATGTTTACGAACAATGAAGCCAAATGACTTGAAAAGGGAAAGATGACTGTTAGCACAATTGAACCTCATTCCTCCCATCTGTGCTACCTGTGGGACACTCTGCACACAAGCTTTCAGGACAGTCACCTGACCTGGTCATCTTCTCTTCTCACATGCCCAGGTTCAAATACAGGCTCTCCATATATGCACAGGATAAGGGGTGGATACACATAAGTTTTCTGAATGTGCTTTCTGTTTTTAGTGTGAGTAATATTGCCTGCCTTCTCCCAAACCCTGGCCTCTTTCTGACAAGGAATTTACTGGAGGCATTTATTTATTTAGGTTTTTTTGAGACACGGCTTCTCTATGGAGGTCTGGCTGTCCTAGAACTCACTCTACAGACAAGGCTAGCCTCAAACTCAGAGATCTGCCTGCCTCTGCCTCCCAAGTAAAGCAATTAAAGGTGTGAATCACCACCACCACCACCACCACCACCACCACCACCACACACACAGACAGACAGATGTGTAATGTGTGATCACAGAGTTAATATTAGTAATTAAATTTGGAATAAAAAAATCTATGCTTGCCAATGGCTTATCAAGGGAAATCAGAATAACTTGGCAAATTATAGCAAATGAAATTGAAATGGCCTGTGAATTTATTGCTACTCAATAAATTTTGACATTGTGGAAAGACACAGATGTGTCTGTGTTTCTAATATACACTAGTATTCAAGACAACTTCCATGGCTGCAGTTACATCATCTAGCTTTAAGACAGGCATTTAAAAAATTATTACATATGGTTACTCTGCATGTGCTTTGTGCATGTGTGTGTGTGTTCATGTGCCAAAGCACTTGTGTGAAAGTCAGAGAACAGCTTGCAGGAACCGGTTCCCTCTTTCTACCATGTAGGTCCCAGGAATCGAATTCAGGCGGTCAAACCTGTCAGCAGGTGCCTTTACCTGTTGAGTCCTCTCACTGGCAGATTTTTATATTTCAGTTTAACTGCTGATTTCACTAGTGACCTATAACAACTCGTCTGCATTGAGAGCAGCTTGTTTTCATAGCATCCAGTCTGGCAGATGCTGCCTCCAGTCTGGACGGCTCTTTACCACACTCAGAGCTTGCTCAAACCGGTCATTTTGTTCGACATTCTCAAAACCTTGAGCGAGAAGTGGAGCAGACTGTCATCTGATTTTACAGATGAGGAAATAGAGGGCCTGGTTATGTGTTGCAGGTGGTGGCTGAGAGCCTGAAGCCAGGTGCTTGAAACCTGCTGGCAACTGTACTTTCCACGGGGCTTCAAAACATAAATAAAAATGAAAATATTCTCATGTCCTTCATCCTTCAACTGCATACTCTCATCTAGTTCCTCATAGGATATGGCTACAGGAAGCACATTAGTTACCCAAACGTACATAAACTATTACAATAAGAGGAATTTTTGATTTTGACTCATGTCTACATCTGTAGATTTTTCTTTCTAAAAATAATGCCCAATTCTTATATTTCAAACAATCTTCAAAATTCTTACTTTAGGAAAGTGCCAGACTTAAGAAGCCCCTTCTGCTTAAGGGTAATAGGAATTCATGCAGACAATACTTGCAGAAGACAGACATTCATTCTCTCAAAAACATTGACTCAGCACATGTGCCTAAGGTGTCACACTGAGGAATTGAGGCCAATTCAAAGGCAAGTCATTTTACCCGATAGTTTCCTTCCACAGCTTTGAAACAGTATTTCTCATTCTAATTTCTCCAGCAAGTAAGGTATTAAATTCAGCAACCTAACATGGGCCACATCCTGTATGCAAGAATACTCTTCCAATGCACACACTCTTGTATAACAGAAAGAACTTTGGGCTGGGAACCAGGACTCATCAGCAGTGACCCAAGCTTGGCCTCTCTTCAGAGCCTTAGTTCTCACTGGGTTTGTTGATTTGCTTTTTAATCTGTAAGATGAAGAATGAATTTGAAACCAATGAGCTTCATGGACCTGCCAAATGAGGAACAAAATATGACCATATGGCAGATCCCGGCAACAGCCGTGTCAAAGTGCATCTGTCTATGGCTAACAACTTGATGACCACTTTTAAAAAACTAGAAGAGTGTGTGTACACAGAGGGCAATCAGAATTCTACTCTTTTCTCACTCTAAACCTGCAAAACAAAACAACTGTGTTTCACTTCCTTCTATTGTCCTGAATTTTATATCTTGGAAAAAGACTGGCTTTGATTAGGAAGAAAAACGGTCAATAAGTTCTAAGACAGACTTAACACTCTTACCCAGATTGCATATTCCTTTCTCCAACTGATACCCAACTGGGCATCTGCAGGTGAAAGATCCCTGAGTATTGTTGCACATGGCTAGGGGTGGACAGGGGCTTGAGAGGCATTCGTCCACATCTGCAGAGGAGGACAAACAAGAGCACGTTGATGGGATAGCAGACAGAGAATTATAATCCAGCGTGTCCTGAGAACCTAGTGGCACTCTGTGCAGTGTCCTGAGAACCTAGTGGCACTCTGTGGAGTGTATCCGGCGTGTCCTGAGAACCTAGTGGCACTCTGTGGAGTGTATCCGGCATGTCCTGAGAACCTAGTGGCACTCTGTGCAGTGTCCTGAGAACCTAGTGGCGCTCTGTGGAGTGTATCCGGCATGTCCTGAGAACCTAGTGGCACTCTGTGGAGTGTATCTGGCGTGTCCTGAGAACCTAGTGGCACTCTGTGGAGTGTATCCGGCGTGTCCTGAGAACCTAGTGGCACTCTGTGGAGTCTGGTACGAAAGAAGAGCAGGAAACCACCATTGTCCTCAAGGGGTGACTACCTGTCAGGCAGAGGCAGCCATATGAGAATTAACTAGACTATAAAGCAGGATTTGAATGTGCAGAGCTGTACATAGATCTGGTTTGATTGTTGTTGGATTTTGTTGTTGTTTTGAGACAGGGTCCCATCCTTTTATCCCTGACTGGCCTGGAACTCACCATGTAGACCAGGGTGACCTTGAACTCAGAGAACCCACTATTTCTGACTCCTGGGTGCTGGGATGAAAGACATGCCTAGCAGAAACAGTAAACTTTGATGCAGGGGAGAATTAAAGACTGTTTTAAATACTATTTAAATATAAATAGGACTAAGGAGACGTCAACAAGCAGATATCTGGGAAGAGGCTATGTCCCAGGCTGAGGAGACAGCAGAGTATAGGCATCTTTAGGGAGCTGTAGATGGTCCAGTGTTGCAGGGGTGTAGACAAGCTTTGGAATAAAACCAGGTCTGTACCATACTGTAGTCCTTCATGCCACCATATACAACACACCAGCATGCTAGTACTCAAGCAAGAAAACTGGGAAACTGAAAACCTTACCCTTGCACGCTATGGAAGAAAAACGTTCTTTTAAAAATGACTGTGTGTGAACACATGAGTGAGGGTGCCTGCAGAGGGTAGAGGTGTCCCATTCATTTGCGGCTGAAATGAGCTACCCGATATGGGTGACAGGATCCAAACTTTGGCCTTCTGCAAGTGCTGTCAACTCTGGAAAAAGCATCTTATTGACTAGCCCGACAACCCCAGGTAACATTATAATAAATGTTCCCATCTCTCTTACCCACACTGCAGTTGTCCCCTTGCCAGGCAGGTGGGCATACACATCGATACCCATGACCGGTGAGGTCCACGATGCATTCGCCATCATGAAGACAAGGGTTCACGGTACAGCTGTTGACTGAACACATGGCAGGAAAACACAGGCAATGTCAGAGCAACCCTGGGAAACATCTCATTTTCACAGCTGATGTTTGGTTCTCGCCTAGGTTTGTTTGCTTGCCCTGGAAAATCACTCTCCTAAAATAGAACAGGGTCCCAAGAGGTGCGAAGACAGAGGTGATGAAACTGGGCACTGATACTAGCTTGTATTCATATTGCTAGATAATTAGATTCCCCAAATACAAGTATGGCTATTAAACGCTGCTTACAGGCCACTCTATTCAGGACTGATAATTATATTGCCTTTGTGGTACTTAGAAAATTCTACCAGACTCAGTGAATGTCAAGTTAAAGCACATTTTAAGGTGGAAAGAATTCACGGTCAACTCTAAGACTCACTCTATGTGTAGACAAATGTACACATACGCATAGCTTACTTTTTCTCTTGGATTTTATCCAAAGTATAGAAACATTTATCTGAAAAACCTTGAAACATACATACTTGTTGTTGCTATGCTTTTTGTTGTTTTGTTTTATTTTGAGATGGTCTCATGTAGCCCAGGCTGGCCTCAAATTACTTATATAGCTCAGGCTGGACTTGAACCCCTGATCCACCTAACTACCTCCCAAGTTCTGAGATTATACACATTCACCACCATGGTCAGCTTCTGTATGACTTGAAATTTAACCTGGCCTCCACAGATTGTGTGCTATTGAGAAAATTGTCAGTTAAACATTGCAACAACATCTCCTTTTTCTTTACTTTTTGAGGCAGGGTCTCATGTAGTTTGTGCTGGTCTCAAACTCCTAGGTAGTCTGGGATGACAGTGAAATGATTCTCCGGTCTCCGCCTCCCAAGTGCTAAGATTACCAGGTGTCGCATGGTCAGCCGTTTCTCTCCATATACATAAATGGGCCCCATCTGGAGTCACGAGGGCCTTTATGGGTAAACTTTACTGTTGTCTTGGCACCTTACTCATCCCCTGCCCCAGGAGGCCCACACTCTGTTTGACTCTATATGATTAGAAGGGTCAAGCTCCAGTTGTGAAATGCCTGCTTCATATGGGGGTTTTGAAACACTCTCAGAAGAGCCTCAAGCCTACAAAACAGCGGCATCATTTGCAGGGAGGAAACCACCAGGGAACAAGGGAAAGGAAACAGAAGCCTTCAAAAGAATAACCCGAAACAGATGGGGCGCTCCAAACACGGCAATCTCCCTCTTCACGGCTATTGTTGAAACTTATTATTCTGAAATCATGTGTATGTGGGGGATTGGTATGAGCAGGTGGGTGCACTGCTTATGGAGGTCAGGAGGAGGCGTGGCATTCCCTGGAGTTGGTTGTGAGTTGCTCCGTGTGGGTGCTGGGAACCAAACTCAGGGGCACTACAAGAACACTGCACTTTAAACAGCCCCATACTTCATGTGTTACCTAGCATCACCTATATGAGCAGAGCACCTTTATATTTAAGCATGGTGCCCATTATATAATGCTATAGTCTCCAGTGACTATGCAACAAACACCCACCCACAGGGACTGTATCAGCTTTAAGGGAGTCTGGTGAACCTGGTACTGAATGCATTGGTCAGTGGAAATGAAGATTTTGGAGAAGCAATCATCTTTTACTTCTTAGACACACTCAGATTGCTGAGAAAGGGGCGCTGTAGACTAGCAGTGGGAATGGCTTATGGCCCTGTTCCCCCCAGGTCATCTTCACTGACAAATTGAAATTGTACCACTGAGACCTCTGCTGTAGCCCCCACACAGTATTCCCCTCTTTCCCTCTTTCTTAAGATGGCATCTGCCTTGCCTTCTTCAACAGCAGTTCCCCCTTACTGAGTCTGGATCAACTACAAGTCACTGTGAGCACCACGCCCTGGTGTACCTGTACCTTTCTTTGCCCTAGGTTGGCTTTCTTTTTCATACCGGAACCTTCAACACAGCTCTACAGATAACCTTATGTACCAGGTAAGGGAACTCTGGTCAAATGGCCACTGGGAAGAGGCTTGCTCAGCATCCTTCCTTTACATGTGCCCTGCTTACCAACTAGCATTGTGGAGACAAAGAGCTCTGGGCCTCCCTGGATGGAGCGCAGTCTTTGGCCCTGAAAGACCCTGAGCCCGCTAACTCGGAAGCTCGGGACTCTCTCTGGAGAGCAGGCATTCAGCCCGCCCCTGCCTCTAGCAGACCACCTCAACCTTTTGTCTTTGGTGGAGAACTTGCTGAAGACTGCATATGTTAGGCAAGCACTCTACCCCCCTTCTGCATCCTAGCCCCGCTAACACTGCTTTTGAAGTTTCTCCACTGTCCAAACCCACGTCTGTGCCTAGCTCTGACCTTAGATGAGTCAAAGACATGCTTGAGAAGCTTGGACAATAACAGGCCACGAAAGGCTACAGTTATATCCTCTATGCATAGCACACAGGGCCAAAGTGTCCTCCTTTCTCTTTCTACAGAAAGAATCATGCAACTTGGGAGGAGAGTATTGGGAGAGCCTTAGGCCCATACTGCCCATATTTCATGCTGTGTATTTCAATGGGAGTCATTCCAGGCCAACCAACAGACACTTTCAAATACTAGCCATGTCGGCACGCTCATACAGACCCAGACCCTTTGCAGCTTCGGTGCTGGACGGGGCCTAGCAGTCAATGTGTGTTTGCAGTCAAATGCTCTACCCCTGAGCTATACCCCCGATGTGTGTTTGTAAGGTGCATTTACCTGGAGTTGGAGGGGACAGTGCTGCTGGTGACTGTGGGGTGCTCTGAGCAGTGAAGCTGGTGTATCTGGAAGTCAATATTTCAGCTGTAGAAACATCTGTAGTTTGGGGTGAAGATGTTCTGAGAAAATGTGAAATTGGGCTGGCCTCCTCTTCCGGGCTGAGCATAGTGGTCACTTCCGCTGATGTGGGTGTAGTAGTCAGAGGGACAGAGGGAGTGGTAGGACCCACACGCACCCGGTTCCCTTCTGTGGTGACGGCCCCTTCTGTTGAGGTTGGTGGCACTAGAATTTCAGGGTTGGTTGGCTGGCGCTGTTTCTCAGGGGTGGTGTGCACAATGATGATGCCTGGGGTCGAAGCTTCCGTGCTTGACAGGGTGCTGGGATTGGTCATAGGAGCGTGAGTAGTCTGGGGAATGGAAGATGTCAAAGCCGGAGACATCTGGGCTAAGGTGGTGCTTGTGGCGGGAAGGGCTGGCTCTGTGGAGGACCCCATCAAGGCGGGGGGCCAGGGGGTGCCTGGAGGCAGGCTCATCGTTACTGCTTTGGTAGAGTCTGTGGGCAGAGACACCAGGCTTGGTGACTTAGCTTCTGTGATGGTTTTCTCTTGCTGTGGGGCGCTCTGGTTCTTGGGGTCTGCTGTTTGGTTACTGGGGAACGCTGCTATGGCTGATTCCACTGTTGACATCTGGACTGACGTTACACGTGGTTCCCTTGCCCTGGGTGGGACCAGGGTGGAAGATGAGTGTGGGAAGTCTGTTTGTGAGGCAGAGTGTGGGGCAAGGGTTGACACCATTAAGGAGATGGGTAAAGGTGACAGTGAGGATGACGAGGGCGTGGCTGTCTCAGAGGTAGACTTTAGCTGCTGTATGGGAGACCCAGTTGATGGGAAGGCTGATGAAAACTGGTGGGGTTGTGACACTGACGGGAGAGATGATGGAGCCCCCGAATCAGATGGGTCCTCAACAGAGTTAGTAATGGCATCAAGAACCAAGTTGTCCGGCACATTAATGGTGGATGTATAGGACGGAAGGCTGGATGTATGTAGAACCAGTGACTCGGTGGAAGACTGAGCAGGTCCACCATCATGGGAGGACACGTTACGTCCTTCAGCCTGAGAAGAAGAAAAGTCTAAGTGTGGAGAGTCTGAGATCTTAATGGAGGAAGTTGAGCTCTCGCTGGTGTCTGAGGATGAAGAGTTTTCTGTAATGGACAGTAATGCCCGTTCTCCTTTGGTGAAGGCAGACGGAACATAGGCGTGGTCTGTGTGGCCGCTGGAGGTCCTTTGTTCAGCGTCTGAGCCATGCTCTTGACCATAGCTAAGTCCAGTGACTACAAAGAGAAAAGACAAAGTTGGGTCAAGTAAACAAGAAATCTTTGAGATGGGTGTAAAGAGAAGCCTTCCCGCCAGCCTAGTTCCAGAGCCGCATCAGTCCCAAATAAACACACAGGAGGCTATATTAATTATGAAGCTGTTGGCCTTGCTTGATTCTTACTGGCTAGCTCTGACTTAAGTATTTATCCCATAATTGTTAATCTAAGTGTTTTTCTTACCGGAGAAGTTTCCGGGCTCCCTACCCCATGGCGTTACATCTCGACTCCCTGTGTTTCTCCTACCCAGAGTCCTTCTGGATTCCTAGTTCCACCTATCTTGGTTCCCTATTGGCCAACAGTGCTTTATTGGCATATACACAGGACTTCCCCCATCAGATGGGCACTGGAAAATATTCTCCATGTCTTCTCCCTGAGCTTAAGTGAGGGAGGTATTGTCTTTGAGAGGAGATTTGTCCTGGGAAGCACTCTCAGTGAGGAGGATACTGGAAGGCTAAAACAGTCAGGGGAGGCTCAGCGTAGGTCCCTCCAGTGAGGAGCAGCGATAGTGACATAAGTGGGAATAACGGAGAAGCGGAGAAGCAGGGAGCCTAAAAACAAGGAGTATTACAAAGCTTTTCCTCGTGCCCTTTTTTAATAAAAGCAAATTGCCATGGAAAAACTCCCAAGATCCTAAACAGTAACTGCCATTATTGAATGGAAAAAGGAAATTGCTCCCAACTTTCCACTCTGTTATGAGGTATTTCTTCCCGGGAGATGGCCTTAACCACAGTTACCACTCTGCTTTATTTTAAACCTCTCAGGCAAAGGTCAACCCTTATACCCCAAGCAAGCACGAGTGTTGGGGGTGGGAGTGCTTCCTGCGGTGGAGAACCCAGAAGGTTCTTTCCCTAATGAGCAGTAAGCTTCTTTTTGGATTGCCAGCCAACATAACCATCCCAGAACTGTGAGGCAATCTACAGACAGCCAGGGAAGGTGGCTGTGGAAAACACACCTCCAAGGGTAGGTGCCCGAGACAGCAGACCCGTGTGCTCTGTCACGTTTCCACGCGGAGTGGGGTGCACTGGGTGGGTCGCAGTGCGTGAGAAGCCGAGGGACCGCAGTGTGCGTTCCCCGCTCTGGGTGAGCATCACAGACGTGTGCAGGGCACGTGCCCTAGAAGTGCTCTCTGGCAGGTCTGAGCTGTCCCTCAGCAGTGTGTCATCTTCTGGAGCTGCAGGAAAGACAGGGCAGGTAAATGCAGGGACAGGATGCTTAGCCTCACATTCTGGACCACTGGAGACCAGAGGCTTCCCTGAGACTCTTTTCCTCCAGACCATAGGGCTGATACCTCTCTGTTCGGGGGTCCTAACTTCACCACAAGGAGTGTTATGCCCCCCAAAGGAGCCAGAATACTGGATTTCTGCTAGGTGATACATTATACCAATCAGAGTTTTATCAGTCAAGTTGGTAGCAAGTTCACCGCCTGGCCTGTGGAGTGTCAGTTACCATGAGTCAGAAAATAGCATGGATGCTGGGCGGTGGTGGTGTATGCCTTTAATTCCAGGCAGAGGCAGGCAGATTATTTACTATGAGTTTGAGGCCAGTCTGGTCTACAAAGTGACTTCTAGGACTGCCAGACTACACAGAGAAACCCTGTCTTGAAACAAACAAACAAAAATACAAAAGAAAGAAAGAAAGAAAGAAAGAAAGAAAGAAAGAAAGAAAGAAAGAAAGAAAGAAAGAAAGGAAGAAAGAAGATTGGCATGGAGGTTGAGGGTGGGTTTAGTTGGTGTTTGTTAATACTTATTTTATATTTATGCACTTATGTGAGGCATGCAGGAGCCACAGCAGGAGTGGAAACTAAAGGGGTTTGTGGAGTCTGTTCTGTCTGTTCTCTCCTTCCCCCACTTGTGTCTGGGGATCAACCTCGTATCATTAAGCTTGATGCCGAGTGCCTTTACCCATGGAGCCATCTTTCCAGCTTTGCTTTTATTTCCATTTATGTATTCATCTATTTATTTGTTTTGTTTTGTTTGAGACAGGTTTTTCCGTGTAGCTTTGGCTGGCTTGGAAGTTTCTCTGAAGACCTAGCTGGCCTCAAACTCACAGAGATCTGCCTGCCTCTGCACCCCCAGTGCTGAGATTAAAGGTATCACCACCAATTCCCAGTCCTGTTTTTATTTTGAATGCATTTGTTCTATTGTATTGGAATAGGGAAGGCACCACATAAATAAATACCCTTTCTCTCCTTTGGAGGGGTATATGTTGTATGCTAAACTTAGAACTGGCTTATATTACTAGATTACCAAGTAAATCCTTTTCAGAAATGATGAACGTAAGTCCAAACTCACGTAGCTATGTACACATACACATAAATAAAATAAATCCTTAAAAACGCTATTTATTTAAATGTTTATGTTTTAATTTTTTTAGTGTGTATGAATGTTTTGCCTACATGTATAAATGTGTACCTTGTGTGTCTGATGCCTGCAGAGGCTAGAAGAGAGCATTGGATTCTCTGGAACTGGAGTTACAGGCAGTTTTGAGCCACCATGTGGATTCTGAAAAGGAACCCAGACCCTCTGAAAGAGCAGCAAGTACCCTTAGCCACTGAGCCATCTCTCCAGGCACTTTAATTTTAGATTATGAGTAACTGAGTGTGGGTTTGTAAACATGAGTGCAGTACCCATGGGGGTCAGAAGAGGGCACCATATCCCCTGGAACCAGACTTAGAGGTGCTGTGAGCCCTTTGGGGTGATGGGAATAGAACTCAGGTCCTCTGTAAGAATGCGCTCAACTGCTGAGTGCCATCTCAGAGGCTCCATTAACAATTCTTAAAATCACCGTGAGGGTTAATAAGTTTGGGTTATAATGTAAGAACTCCTTTGTTTTTCTGTAAATCATCAAAAACACTGGGGATCAAGGCAGTTGACACATTAGAGTGAATTCCTGAACGCTCTCTTGATGCCCAAGAACTCTCTATCCAAAACTCCCTCTTTCATTGAGCAAAAGGACCATACGTCTAACTGGCAGACAGACTACCCTGTCACCAATCACATGACAACTATACAAAGGTCACAACTGACTGCGCTGGCTCCTGAGGGCTCAGTCCCAGGCAGGGCTGTTTGATACAGTTTGAGCCAGACGTTCTGTAATCAAACCTGGACAGACCTTTTCTATCTCGGTTAGAAGGGAGTGCCCAGACTGGTGCCAAGGGGAAGGGCTGTGACTGGTCCAAATCAGTCAGTGACCGGTGCCGAGAGCAAGGCTTGAGTGCTAGGCAAATGGCTGTGACTGGTCTGCACATCTCTTCTTGGGCTACATAAACAGGTTGCTTAGACTCTCTCAATTCTCCTGTGTTGTAACAGAAGACCCCCTAAAAGGCTTCTCCTCTTTTCTTGCTACTTTCAGAAGTACAGAAGAAAGAAGTAGCATAGGCCACAGAGAATGGAGGGTAGCCGGGGTGAAGACAGTGCCAGTGGTAAGGCTACATCTGGACAGCTGACGATCTCAGAGAGACACAGTGCAGGGCCAGGCACACCACCCAGCGTTGCCAGCGGCCACGAGTGCACACACTCACTACTATCCCACAGTCACTGAAGAGGCCCCGTTGGCCTTGGAAACGATCCGTACAGCTTGTGCCTCCATTCAGATTCTCAAGCCCCTGGACCTGGCTTCCTGGTGCACAGATTGAGCACCCCTCTGCAACTGCTGTTTTAGTTTCGGGAAAGTGGGAAGCCTTGGAACTCCTGGCAGTACGCATGGTGAGAGTCATGCATAGCAGCAGACTGCCTGCTGGTCCACCTGTCTGCGGGATCCCACCTGCCAGCCAGGGGGTGCAGATTCCTGCGCCTGAGTATCCTGCACCTGGCACCCTGTTCCTACTAGGTGCCCACGATTGCACCCAGGATCCCCACATATGATCCTGATGGGCAGGCACCTGGAGTAGAGCGGCCACAGCAAGAAGAGAGGCAGACCACACAAGAGCACGAGGCACTAACAGAAGCTGTCAAGAGCCCATGAAGAGGCTCCAAAGGCCCTGGACACCGAATTTCTGGGAAGAGAGTCAAGCCTTCAAGGCTAAGACACTCAGAACCCAGGCTGAGAGCTGTTACAAGGACCATCACCAAGGCTGAGGGTCCTGCACCGGGACTATGACATTAGAGGGTCCCTTTTGTCACTGCTTGATGCTGTCAGACACCGAGAGAAACAAAAGCTGCTAGAGACCAGGTCTGAAGAGCTCTTGCTTCCCCAGCCTTCCTATCCTATCCAGCCTTTGATTGGCAATGAGCACACACACAGCTCCAGAGCAACAGTAAGCCAAACCACAAAGGTGCTGTAAGGCTTTCTGAAGGACTTGGGTGCCGAGTCATCCAGTACAGATGCAAGAGTCCCAACCTCTGAAATAGTTTTGTGAACAAAGAGGAAAAGATATTGGCTGAGAGATCTTTTATACTCTACAAGTGAAACGGGAGTAGGCAAACAATCACATCAGGGTTATAGGTCCAACAGAGTGGCAGATCACAGCCTGAAACAGCTGAGTCTGAACCAAGGAAAGGGCAGACTGAGAGTTATCCAAGACTGGTGTCATAATTAGTCAGTTTTGGGCTGATTCAGAGGCAAAGAGAGAAAGTAGTATACTAATCCATAATGAGGTCATTTCAGGAATGAGTCTATTCCTTATCTAGCTTTAGAAAAGAATTAAAAATTTTATATTATGTGTATATGCATGTGTAAGTATGTGCATATGGGTGCAGGGGCCATGGAGGCCAGAAGAGGGCAGCAGATAGATATTTTGGAGTTGGGGGTTATATAAGGTTGGGAGTTAGGAACCAAATTCAGGTCCTCTGCAAAGGCAGCAAGTACTCTTAATGGTTGAGCCATCTCCTTCCACCCCCTACAGCCCCATCTAGATTTTTATCACCTGAAAGTCTGATCACAATGAAATCATATTTTCTACATGAACCAATGCTACATTACCTGCAGAGAGAAATGTCCTGAGAGATGTAAAAGGGAAAAGCTATGGAACCAAAGATTGTGCTAGGGACACAGCACAGTGTCAGCATGCGTGTTGCCTAGTGTGCACAAGGCCCCGAATTCAAGCCCTGGGAGAAGGAACCTGTGGTCTCATTTTGAGAAGGTAAACATTCTGGGTCTGTAGTGGTGAGGGTGGAAAACTGTATTTCCCAGGCAAGAAATAAAAGACTATGAACATCTTCTCCCTACACATTTGCTCTTTCTGTTTTTCCTTTCTTTTCTTTTTCAAGACAGGGTTTCTCTGTGTAGCCCTGGCTGTCCTATTGCTCTGTAGACCAGGCTGGCCTTGAACTCAGAGATCCACCTGTCTCTGCCTCCTGAGTACTAGATTTAAAAGGCGTGCACCCCCACACTGGGCTCACACGTGTTGGTTCTTTCATGATCAGACACCGTTGCACGTTACAGGTGTAATAATAAGCGGTGATTTACCTTCATCAATGAGGCTTCTCATATGGGGAGTTATTAGCAGCGGTGGGGAGGTAAGAATTTAAGTCTGCCAGAAATGCCTTAAAAAGCATATTTGCTTTCACTAGAACCAACTTTATGCTGATAAAATCACTGGGAACTGTTTCCAAAAATTAATCAAAAATCACCATTTTAAGGAAATAAAACAGCAATAAAAAGCCACAAAACAAAAAGCCAAATATTCTAAAATGTTCATATTAGACTTCACCAAAATTAAAAACTTTCATGCTCCAATAATATCATCATAAAGTGAAAAATGACAGGCTAGAGAGATGGCTCAGCGGTTAAGAGCTCTTCCAGCTCCCACATGGCAGCTCACAACTATGGTAACCTCAGTTCCAGGCCATCTGACACCCTCACATAAACAAATCCAGGCAAAACCCAAATGCACATAAAATAAAAATAAATGCTTTAAAAAAGTAAAAAGTGACAAATCACAGAATGAGAGAAAGTGCCCATAAATGATACAAATCAATAGGGACTAGAGTCCAGAATATACAAAAGCCCTTTGTGCTCAATATGAAAAATGATAGTTTTAATTTTAAACAGTCAAAATATCCAAATTGGCATCTTCAAAGAAGATACACACACAAGAATGACTGTATGAATAGATGTTCATTATTACTAGGATAGTGAACTAGGAAATGCACATTTATGCTACTCTCTACATATGTGTACACACACACACACACACACACACACACACACACACACACATTCACTTTGGAAATAGTTTGAGAGTTTCTCAAAAGTTTTAAAAGGATACTACTAGCCGGGTGGTGGCGGCTCACACCTTTAATCCCAGCACTCAGGATGCGCCAGGCAATAGAGACAGATACCTTGCATCCTAGGAGGTGGATCTCTGAGTTCAAGGCCAGCTTGGCCTATAGAGTGAGATCCAAGACAGCTAGGGCTTCTACACAGAGAAACACTATCTTGAAAAACAACAACAACAACAAGAACAAGATACTACTATATAACATGGTAATTCCAAGACAGCATGTCTCCACATGAAACGTGTCCCCCAACAATCATAGGGACACGATTAATACTAGTGCATCTCTGATGGAATATTATGCAGAAGGACAGATACATGCTTAATGAATCTTGAGGCCATATAAAGTTAAATGCACAGAAGGCATATATATTATTGCTTTCACAGGAATGTCCAGAAGTCCTGTGATTAGGAGGTATTGGGGTTCGGGGCAGGTTATACACCACGGGAGGGTGTGGACACAGAGAGAAGGGGAGGTAGCACCCAAAGCTCCTTAGATGTGGGGCTAGGGGGATGGCTCAGTCAGTAAAGTATTGGCTGTGCAAGCATGAGGACCTGAGTTCAAATCCTTAGCATTCAGTTAAAAATCTGAGCATGGCCAAATGTTCCAAACGAGGAACCTGGAACAGCCTTATTTAATTAGTGAGCCCCAGGCCTAAGTGAGAGACTTGTCCAGAAAATGAAGTGGATAGCTTTTGAGATACACGCCGGAGGCTGACCCACGGCCCCCATGTGCATGCGTGCACTTGCATACCTGCACACATATATGTCCACATACATACACCCTAGAAAAAGAGTCGGTAGAAAAAGAGTCGGGATGTACCAAAAAGGATGGGAAATGTAGGCATATTTGTATTAACCAGCTAAGAGAATGGCCTGGGATCAGTACAATTACTTCCCTCGTGCAGACTTTAGAAGATCATAGAACCAGACACACCCTGAGTCCCTGTGGTATACTTCCACACAGTAAGAACTCACTTGAATGTCCTCGCTGTGGTGCTGAGGAATCCAGACTTTCTGAGGCAGATGTAGATGCAGACTCCGAGTAACTCTTCCCACCCAATCCCGAGCTCCCATCTCGGGGCTGTTGAGCAGTGTGTGCCAACTGAGTCAAACCCCTGCTGCTCCCAGCATCTGGATGCAAAGCCGAGCTTTCGGCTGGATCTGTAGATGTTTTGCTCTCGCCGGGAAACCACTGTCCTGTGCTCTCTCCACCGCCAATGGAGGGGACTGACCTAAACACTGTCTCAGTCAGAGGTGTGGCACTTCCATTTCCTGGTTCTGAGCTGCTGGCAAGCTGGTGTCCTCCAAAGGCTGTAAGATAGGGGTGGGGGTCATTAGTGGACCCAGAAAAGATGCTTACCAACTAAGATGGTGTCCCCTCTAGGGCAAGCTTCCCTCTGCCAAGGGATCTTGGACAGTGTTTATATGGGTCACCCTACAAGCTTCACCATGTTCTAAAATTTTCTACAATTATTGGATGTCAGCAATATAGTAATATTAAAAACAAAAGTTGTGGATAGGAGTCTTGAGAGCAGCATGTACAAATAGTAATTTATAGGCTTGAGTGCTTCTCTCTGTACCTTGAAAAGTAGTTCAAGGGAAGAGTCGTTACATCCAACAAGTTCTATGTGCATAAATACTGTAGGTAGAACATTTCCCTAAAAAACAGCTGCAACACTGATAAACATTCTTCTGCTTTTGATGTATAGTGAAATAAACTATAAGGAGTAAGCTGAGCTATGAATTTGGGAAATATATTTATATCTGACAACTTATTTATAAAGATGATCTATACACAAAATCACTAAAGCCAGCTGTAAGGAGCAGGTCAGGGTCTCACTTTAAAGAGGACGTTATAGAATGGAGATGGACCGAACCATGAGAGCCCCAAGGTTGAAGTCTCCACTCCGCTGAGTAAGCTGTGTCTGCTTTACTGAAGCCCTCCAGGTCTTGTGTTCTCATCTTAGGCATGGCCCTTGTCCACATCCAAAGATAAAAATGCAATTGTATGATACAGCAGAGAAGGATCTGATGTCATCAAGGACACACTTTTCTTCAGAGACTGCAAATGGTCTTGAAGAGACCCCCTAAGAACACCCAACTATATAAAATGCCCACGAGTCAAAAAAGGCAAACTACTTACTGGGGGAATCACTTTGCCAGTGTATTGATGGAAGTCCAAGTCCGTTTTCTGTAGATGGCTCAATGCCTTCTCCATCTGCCATACTCCCAGTTAGTCTGCTGTTTGTCCTTGAGTCAACCACAGAAGGTGAAGAATGGACTGAGGCTGAAGTTATGGCAACTCTGGAATGCTCAGAGAAACTCTCTGTCTCGTTTATAGGCTCCGCACTGACAGTCAAAGACCGGAGCATTCTTGGAACACCATTAGTGAACGTGTTGGTGACGTGTGTACTCTTTGTCTGGGTGACTGATGGGCTTTGGAGATCAGTGGAGTTGTTAACATTCTTTATACTTCCAGAAGCTAAAACAGAAGAAAATATGCTTCAAAACTACTTGAAAGGCTAAGGAAATCAGGGTTCTATCTAGGTACAAACATACTTATTACATTTGATATGTGTGTCTGAATGCCATGGATATGAAAAAAAGCAGACACTTGTAACATGTTAATACATGCAAGTGCAACTAGGAGACCCTCCTTCATTTTCTCCTCACCAGTTCTAAGTCTCCCAGAGCTGGCTAGAGACACAGTCAGATCACTCAACCATGCACAAACTTAGCTTTCTATGCAAGCTAAAAGGAAGACAGGAGAAACCTAGACAAAGAAATAATCTGTCTTGTTTTCCATAGAGGAACTGCATTCCACAGTGTAAGAATTCCATAACATAGGCCACTGCGATAAGGCTGCTGCTGCTGGTTTGCACTGTAACCCTTTTGTTCAAATGCTCTCTTAGATTAAAATCCAGTCCATACTGTGAACCAAGTTTGAGCCAGTTGAGGGTGCGTAGTCGCTCTGTCAGCACTGGGGCTCTGTAGAACACAGCCAAGACACAGCCTAGGACAACAGGTTCCAACATGGTCACCACCAAAGCCTCTTTATTAGTCCCGTTTTTGTTTGTTTGTTTTGTCTTTTTTGTTTTTCGAGACAGGGTTTCTCTGTGTAGCTTTGGAGCCTGTCCTGGCACTCACTCTGTAGACCAAGCTGGCCTCGATCTCACAGAGATCCGCTTGCCTCTGCCTCTCAAGTGCTGGGATTAAAGACGTGCGCCACCAACGCCCAGCTTCTTTATTAGTCCTTAAATGTGGCCACCAAAAGCTTGTGCTTTGAAAAGCCATTCAACTATACTCATTAACAGAACTACTAACCAATAGGAGAATGTTTTATTGCCCCAGTGATTTTACTTAATTTCACCTAGATGCAGACAGACTTCATTACTGTAGTTACTTCATCTCACTAAGCTTTAGAGAGATGTCTTCAAATCAGTGTTGCACTGCAGCAGACACTCTAGGAGAACATAGACTCTAGGCTGGGAACACTTTGATTCTGATCAATGAAACAGGTGGCTGCCCTCGGAGAGCTGTCAGAGCCTCAAGGACTCAGTATGTACTGTTGGCCAGAACATATGGTCTGCTCCTCCTCATGGATGTCTGATTGAGAGCTTCCCTCCACAAGGACACTTTCCAGAGGTACTTAAGACCTGACCTCCAGAAGGTGCCTCAAAGCCCCAAACCAAGGGGCTGATGTTGCAGCTCACCTAGCATGCATGAGGCCCTGAGTTCAAACCCCGGCTCCACAAGATTTCCTTATTGAATAAGGCAAGAACTAGGTGCAGGAAAGCCTGGGGGGCAAAACGATGGGGCAAGGGAAGAAGGCACTTTGTTTTCTTTTCCACCTGAAGCCATCAGCAGTAAAGAGCTGTGTGGACCTATATACACCATGGCAGCTTCCACTGTCAATCATGGCTCCAAAAAGGGAAAGAAGGAAGCTGCCATTATAAATTGTTCTCTGAAGACCATTCTTACGTGCAGTCGTGGCCAAAAACACCAATAGACTTTAGACATAGTCAGAGAGAAAGTACAGGAAAGGAAGGGTTCCGTATGTTCTCCTGCAAAACCATGGACCCTCTGACACCAGGAGCACAGCCTGCAGCTCTGGTTACTGGGCTGTCATTGAAACAGGCGAAGGCGCAGGCACAGACTATCCACACAGACTAGGGACTAGAAAGATGTGGGTGCAAAGGCATCCAGCCGTTGCAACACAAACAAACAAAAGCCGCTTTTATATAAGAAAGATGTGATATAGATATGGATATATCCCATAAATGGTCTCCTAGTTACTTTAAAACCATTTTTATTTCTAATCAATTGTCGTATGTTATTTGTTCACTATTCCCATTAGAACACAGTGGTGGGGGACAGAGAAGACTTGGCCATTAGGAGTGTGCACTGCTCCTTCAGGGGGCCTGAGTTTAGTTTGCAGCACTCACAGCCTCTTCTGGCCTGAGGGCACCTTTACTCATGCGCATACATACACGCCCCCAACACACACACATATACATGCAATTACGGATAAAACCATAAAAACACCCCCCCCCCCCGCACACACTGTGATGATCACACTGGATTCAGCTTGTAAAGCCCTGGCCTGCCCATTTTGGTAGTTTTGGCAAATAAATGGCCACAGGAATACAACCACAAAGTTCACAAACATTGAGTCACAAAGGAAAACAGCCCCTTTCCCCGGAACCCCTAAGGGCTGTGCAGCACACGGCCATCGCATCTCACAGCTCTAACAAGCTACCATGCGTGGTTGGACACGACAGCACGGGCTGTAGTCTTGGGAGGCTGAGGCAGGAAGATCATGAGCTGGAAGCCAGTTTGGTCTACACAGCAAGATCCAGGCCCATATCCACTACAGAATAAGACCCAGTCTCAAAACTCAGCCCAACAGTGGCTGGAGAGATGGCTCAGCAGTTAAGAGCACTGTCTGTTCTTCCTGGGGACCGGGGTTCAATTCCCAGTATCCATATGGCAGCTTACACCTGTCTGTAACTCCAGCTCCAGGGCCTCTGACGCCCTCTCACAGGCATACATGCAGGCAAAACATCAATGAACATGAAGAAGGAGGAGGAGGAGGAGGAGGAGGAGGAGGAGGAGGAGGAGGAGGAGGAGGAGGAGGAGGAGGAGGAGGAGGAGGAGAGAGGAGGAGGAGGAGGAGGAGGAGAGAGGAGAGGAGGAGGAAGAGGAGGAGGAGGAGGAGGAGGAGGAGGAGGAGGAGGAGGAGGAGGAGAAGAAGAAGAAGAAGAAAAACCAAGTAAACTGAACAAAACAGCTACCCTGAAGTGAGCAGTTGTAATGCTTTAGTAATTGTGCTAAGTGCCTTATATACACATCTCACAGTCCTCACAGTAAATACTTCTGCAAAGCAGTGCCTCGAATGAAAAGGGAATGCTTGTCTAAGTGGCTCATAGGTGTGATCCCACAGGGCATCTGCTGCATAAGCTAGGAAGAAACACACTACACTTCTAATCAGCGAGCCGGCACTTGTGATCATTCTTAGGTGGCCATTCAAAAAGGGGAAATCTTCTGAGTTTGAACCAGAAAAGGCAAAAAGGAAAAAGGAAGGGGGAAGGAGAGGAGGGAGGAAGGAAAACCCAGCCAGTGAGATAGCTCAGCAAGTAAAGACACTTGCCATCAAACATGACCAGAGGTCAGTCCCTGTGCCCTACACGATGGAAAGAGAAGGGCTGTCTCCCGCAAGTGGTTCTCTGGCCCCAACACTCCCCTGCACAAAACAGACAAACAACAAATCTAATAAAAACATTAAATAAAATGCAAAAACTGGAATACCACCCACCGGGACAAGGCCTGGGCTAAGTTCCTAGTCTCTGTAACAGACTGTGGAGAGAACATCTGTTCACCTGGTATGGGCAGGTGTCACTCTCCAGCCAAAGGACAAGACCCCAGAGCCACAGGTACCATCCATCACATTGCTCACCCTTGACTGCTACCCAGAACTTCCCAGAAGCATAGCCGAGGCAGCTGATGTCAGAACAAGACAGACTAAATCCACAATGTTTCACATTACTAATGTCTTCTCCCTTCACAAAGTGAAGTCACCACAAAGCAATTTACCTGGACCACATCATCTCCACTACCCACAGAAAACTTCCATGAGTCAAGACCCATTATTACGGCCCGGCTCTTACCGAGGCTCTGCAAATGTCACCTTCAAAGAACATTAGCGCAGTTCTCACAAACCGGCAATTGGAAGCATTCCTTACATAAATATTCCTCTTGGAATCGCTTGCTGCCCTGAAACACTCATGCCTATGGATTAAACTGGATGCTTACTTTGTCCGACAACAATCGCACACTCCACCCAGCTTCCCTTTGTGCCCCCATTTCCAGGAAGCTCACACTAAATTTAGTGCTCAATTGTGGTCGCTCCACACAATTCAACATACACATTTCTGCCTTCAGAAGGGCTTCCTCCCCTCCTCCCCCCTGCCATGTGTTGCTCTGCAGACAGCCCCACCCCCACTCGTGATCAAACAGCAGTGCATGATCATCAAAGAGACTGTGGAAAGTCTAGAAGGGCCAAAGCTGGAGAGGGCGGAGAGCAGTGCCTTCTGGGCTTTTTTGTAACCCTGTCTCATCTTCCTGGGCCTGCTTTGGTGCTCAAAGATACAGTTTCTATTCAGAAACATGGATTAACTCCTGGCTGTCCAGGGTGTGGAAGAGGCTGTAGTGAACAGTGTGTGCTGTAGTTTGTGTTCTGTTGCTATAATAAAATAAAACACTAGCCAAAAGCAAATTGGGAAAGAAACAGTTCAGTTTATTTTAAACTTCTATGTAAAAGTTCGTTATTGAGGCTAGAACTGAAATAGATCTGTGGAGGGGTGCTGCTCCCTGGCTTGCCCCTCATGGCTGGTTCAGCCTGCTTTCTTATAGAACCCAGGACCACCTGTCCAGGGATGGCACCACCCACAATGGGTTGGTCCCTTCTACATCAATCATTAAAAAATATGCCCCACTGATTTGCCCACAGGCCAATCTGATGGAGGCATTTTCTCAGTTGAGGTTCCTCCTCCAAGATAACCCTAGTTTGTGCCAAGTTGACAAAAAACGCAACCAGCACCACATGCTTGTGTAGCTAGGTGGCACTACAGGAGGTCCAGATGATAGACTGAGTGTGTATGGACCACCAAATGCTGCCACCTTTCAGATCATCTGATTCTTTGCCGTGATGCCCTTAGCTTGTCACCTGTGTGCACATCCTGTGAGGGTTATCACTAGCCTGCTTTGTCTGAGTACTGGGCTTTTCCCTGGGTCACATTGCTAGAAAAGCCCCCCCCCCGCCCCCCGCCACTCCATTGCTTGTCTTCGTTCATTGAACTGACCAGCCAGGCAGGCTGACTCCAAGTCTGCCTTGAAAACCTCAAGATTTCCATTCAGTAGAAGGAGAGGTATACAGATTTCCATTCAGTAGAAGGAGAGGTATACAGATTTCCATTCAGTAGAAGGAGAGGTATACAGATTTCCATTCAGTAGAAGGAGAGGTATACAGAGCAGGCTTGGCAGGCTGGGAGGGGTCAGGCTAACTCTGAAGGCAGAGCAGAAGTTCTAGTAAAGTTGGAAATGTAGATACACCACAGAACTAGGTTTTAATGTGTATTAGCAATATTAAAGGACCTTCACCAGAATCACAGTGGAGATTCCTCGGAAACGCCTCTTTTCCTTTAATTTAGCAAAGCTAGTTATAAATCACCAAGCCACAGAACTCAGGCTGCACAGGATCATAGCTCTTGTCTAATCCAACTAAAGCTTATGAATAATCTTTTTAAAAAGATTTATCTTTTGTTTATGCGGGTGTGTGTGTTTGTATGAATGTACCTGTGGACGTTCAGAAGAGGACATCGGATCCTCTGGACCTGGAGTTACACACAGCTGTAACTTCAGTGCCACCCGATGTGAGAGCTAAGGAACCAAGCCTCCTGGGTTCTCTGGAAGAGCAGGAAGGACTCTTAGCCACTAAGCCATCTCTCCAGGCCACTTACGAATAATCTTTAAAAGTTGTCTCCTGCAAACATGAACCATGAATTCTGTCCACACCCGACATTCGGGAGCTGCATACCAAGCCCATGCAAGAAGACTGGCCCTTTAAACGGGTATTCCGGAGAAGACGTCTGGGCTCAGTTTTTCCTCTGATGACATACACCCAAACTCCCAGTCTTGTAGAACACTTTAAGAAACCTCTGATTTCATGGTTGGGAAAGCGGCACATAAATCCCCACCTCAAGCTGGAGCGCTACTGATAGATGACGGTTGCTTGAGGAAGGAGGGTCAGCTTTCTTTCAGAGGTGTGGTCCCTGGTAGGCTGACTATGCTCCAATGGATAGGCGCACACACACACGCATTTACGGACAGCAAGCCTTGATCCATAGGGAAGGAAGGAAGGATGGATGGATGGATGGACGGACGGACGGATGGAAAGAGGGAGGAGGGAGAGAGGGAGAGAGGGAGGGGGGAGGGAGAACTCCTCTAGGAGGCATCTGAAGGAGTTGGGTGGTGATTATAGGAGGGATGTAGACAAAAAAAATATACTGTACACATGCATGGAATTCTCAAAGAATAAGTAAAATGCTATGTTTATTTTAAAAAATAAAAACAAAACTTAAAAGGATTTGAAAGTGCAAATCCTGCCACTCTGTCTTGCTTCCCACAGCCCAAGGCTTAAAACAACGTGAAGAGCATGCAGACGGGCGGTTTGCAGCATCTCTTAGACTCCTGGCCGGATGAGCCTCCTGGGGGGATCTGGGCACAGGCGCCCGGTTCTTAGCTACTGAACACTGTTCTAGAAGTATCCGCAAGAGGATGAACTGCAATGACAAGGGGGTGGCATATAGCTCTAGAAGGATGAAGAAATGCTGTGGAACAGAACAGCTTGGGTGAGGCTGGTGCATAGGAAGCAGCGTGGCAGAATTGGACAGGGCAGTTTTCTATAGCCACAGGGCCTAACCAAAGCCACGCAGACACCTGTACTGTGCAGGCTGTTTCTTTCGAAACAATGCCAGGAAAAAAATTACGAGCCTGTTTTCTCTGCCATTAAAGAAATTGCCTTTGCAAAAATAAACAAACAAAGCTCAAGCTGCTAATAGAAAGGTATAATGGTGTCTGGCTCACATTTCATTCAAGCACCCTGGCACATGCTCTCTCTCTCCCATAAGCATGCAATGGTCACACTTAATCTTTGTTGTACGTGTGTATAGAGGAGGGCAGGAAAAGAAAAGGGGGGGAGACAGGAGGTGGGGGGGGCACAGCAGCCACCAGACTGGCTGATATTTTCTTCCATACACAGTTGAAACATATTTTGAGCACTAACCTCAATATTGAGATAGACTGCACAGACTGTACTCCCATCCAAAGCACTTGGCGTGGAAGGAATGGCGTTTAAATCTTCCTTTGCTTCCCCTCTTAGCCATCTAGTTATACACATCATTTTGGGGTTATTTTGAAGTAGGAGGGGTGAACCGGGACAGGCGTACTCACACGAGGGATGGTCTGAGGGAGGTGGTCGACTCTGGGTCCAAGAGAATTGCTGCCTGGAGGGCTCCTGGCCTGATGGATTTCTCTTCTGGGAGAACATGGTTGAATCCCCAAGTTCCACAGCAGGGAGGGAGGCTTGGCTGGAAACCCAAGTGCCAGCCACTTGTGTGTGCAAGGTCCCTTCTTCTGGGCCCTCCCTCACCCTCTCCTGGAAGCCCGGGAATATTCCACTCTGCGTTTGAGAAGATGTGACTCTTCCTTCTGACCTGGGACTGCTGGGTGACTGTGGAAGGCTCTCCAAGGCTGAAAACCAGACAACAATTAAAATCCCACCAGTGGGCTTCCAAATATCTCATTATCTCTAGTGGGACCAACTTTGGCCTCCATGAAACACACAGCTGTGAGGAAAAGGCAGGAAGAATCGTTCCATCTAAGAAAACTGAACTGCAAGAGAAATCACCAGCCCAAGAACATCTTCTGACCTCGCCAATGGCCCTCCCTCAGGGGAGGAACTATCAGCAAGGAAGCACTCTGATGCCAAGCCTTGGAAAATCTAGAATTAGAGATTAGTGCTGGACTATGAAGACTTATCCTGACCTTCTGCAAGGGGTCCCAGAATGTCCCAGAATTCAGTGTACGCAGAATTCCCAAACCAGAGAGTATCACATGCCAGACTACTAAGCTCTGCGACCTAATTCATAGACAGGACACAGAATACCTTCATACATTTCCCTTACAGAACTGAGTGCCCCCAGACAGACCTGTCACAAGGGTATGAACCCTTCGATGGCTTCAGCCTCTACTTTGAGGTCCTTGCCAACTATCAACCTTCCTTCTGTTGATATGAATTTTGTTTTGTTTTGTTTTTGGAGATGGGGTCTCACTATGTTGCTCTGGCTGACCTGGAACCCACTATGTAGGCTAGGCTGGCTGGCCTTGAACTCACTTTTTTAATTTTAATTTTTGAGGTAGGGGGTCTCAAGAACATAGACTGGTCTCAAACTCAAGGATGATTTTAACTTTTTAAAAGATATATTTTTAGGTGTGTGTGTGCCTATGGTAGCTAGAACGGCACCCACTCCCCCAGAGCCAGAGTACCAGTGGCTGTGAGCCGTCCAATGTGGGTGCTGTAAAGTTACGTCTGGAAGAGAAATGATTTTAGCAGCTGAGCCATCTCTCCAACCCAAGCTTAAACTTCTGATCCTCCTGCCTCCACCTTCTGAATGCTGGGATTACACATGTGGTTTATATGGTGCCAGGGACCGAATCCAGGGCTTTGTGCCTGTTTGGGGAGGTCCCAGCCCCTCCCGTGTTCAGACTCTACTGAGCCACTCTTTAGCACCTTCACCTGGTTAACGCCTGCGCCTAGATGTCTACCTGGATGGTCCAGCTCACTTCAGGTCCCCTTTACTCCCATATTAGACATCTTTTAGGCTGGCTGCCAGATGGCTCCTCTCTCAAATTGTCTTAGCACTATCACTCCGTCATGCAAAACCCTTCAGTGAGTGAGTCTTCCCACCACACCAAGTAGAAACTGCCTAGTTAGCAAAATATCCCATCATTGTCCCTACCCTCTCCATAGAGCTAGCTGTCCTGCCCACTGCCCTGTGACTCTCCGGGGAGGACTTGAGCCCTGATGCCACACTTGTTTTTCTCTCCCTCTCTCTTCATTCCAGAGCTGTGGTGCCCACTCACTCAACACACAGGCTTCAGCTCTCCTCACTTGGGAACCTGCCGCCTGCTTTCCACATACCGGGTTAATTAGTCTCTGAGCTTCGGTTTCCGAAACCTTAAAGCGAGAACAACGCGCCCTCAGCGGGCTGCTGGAAGGCTAGTGAGAGCAGGCCTGTTGCTATGTAGGTGTGTGCCTAATTAGCCCTACTTTTCTTTGTCTTCGTTCTTAGGTTGAGCCATATTCTCAGAACCGCTGCCTCTTTTTGAAGCCCTTCGTTGGAAATACTAAGTTACCAACTGTGCAGACAGGAGGTGCATAGAACCAGTCAAACCCCATTGGCACAAACAAAGCCCAGCTGTCCTTCCCAACCCCGGGGACATGTGACTACATGGCAGGAGCGTGGGAGCAGGGAGGCGGCATGGATTTAGACTGCCACGGAGCATAGATGTCAAAGGACACACCAGGGTGCTCAGCAAATCTGCATCTTCCTCTGGTCTGACTTCACAAGCATGGCTCTGAGGAAGACTTGCCTGATCTACCCCAATGCAGACCCCCCTAAATGGGCACAGTTGCTCTGGATGTGGGGGTGGGGTGGGAAGGGGGCAGACAGTTTGTTTTCTAGGACAGGGCGTATGTAAATGAACATCGTGACACACACTCACACGAGGAGCTACCGTGGGCGGTCAGGGCGGTGGTGATCTCAGTTGAGTGTCCAGTCTGCAGAACAGTGGTGTTTGCTCTGCTGGAAGACGTGTTCTTCCCCTCAACACTTGTCTCACGTATGAAAGAGGGGTTTTCTGGGGCTCCTGAAGAACTGCGGCTCATCCTGGCAGTCTGAGCTGTCACTCCCTTTCTGGAACCTGAATGGTCCTCTTGACTTGGATAAAAGGGGGTATTTCCTATGTGGGGTTCAGTGTTGTTGCTTTCTGTCCAGTGGCTCCTTGCAGTGGCTGCAATAACAAGGAAATGCACCAATGAGCACTGGATGGCTTCTGAAAAGTAAACATGAAGAGACTTAGCACCCTGAATGGAACTTTGGAGGTCACTGCCAACTTCATGCCGTCTTAAAAACTCCATTTCAGGGGGCTGGGGTGATGACTCCGCAGTTAAAAGCACTTGTTGCTCTTGCACAGAGTACTGGAGTCCACCCCAGCTTCCATGAGGAGGGTCTCACAAATCCTAGCTCTCTCGCTTCAGGGACTCTGGCGCCCTCTTCTGGACTCTGAGGGCACCTGCACACACATGCATTGCATGTACACACATACTAATAGAAAAATTAAATCTTTATAATCCCCATTTTTATTTTCCTGATTTAAGAATATGTCTCTTTGTGCTCAGGATTGGAGCCTGTGGAACCATGGAAAATTCTCAGTGGGGAGTGAATGAAGTCATTTCTATCTTTATAAGCCAAGGCAAAAATGTCACACCATCTGATAAGCAGAGACCACAGGCAGGCAGAACTATCATTTGTATCTAAATATAACAAACAAGCAAAAAGAACAAGTTATCTTTTAGATTAGTACTGCCCACAGGATTAAGTGAGAGAAAGCCACAATTTGTACAATTAACTTTGGTAGCCACTTTAAAACATTATATATATCATATTTAAAATATCATTTTAATATGAACTTGATATAAGAAGTATCAAGATGGTAATTACATTTTGTAGTAGACCTTTAATATTTTACTGCCCCCTCTTCACGTGTGTGCGTGTTTTGCCTGCACGTGTGTCTGTATATCATTTTCACATCTGGTGCTCCTGGAGGCCAGAAGAAGGCATAGGATCCCCTGAGACCAGAGTTACAGATGGTTTTGAGCTGCCATGTGGGTGCTGGGAATCAAACTCAGGTCCCCTGGAAGAGCGATCAGTGCTCATAACCACTGAGCCAAACGTCTAGCCCCTTACCGGCCATGTTTCAAGAGTTCAGTAACTCTTGAAGGGGCGTGGCTACGGCTACACTGCAGTGGCCAATGGCTCATTTATTTGAGGTGGGTTGGGTGGAGATTCTGAAAGCTTTCTAAGGGAGTTAGTTATTTCCTCTGCCAGTTCCTTGAGAATTACCTACCGTTCATGCCCTGATTCTCTTTCCTGGAGGTGGTAATTAACAGAGGCCTTCTGGAGGAGAGGGAAGTCACCAGGGCACATGGGCTCCTCTGGGGGCCCAGCCTGCCAGGCAAGGCCCATAGTAAGCTGCAAGTTGGCTGAGGGAGGGTATTGCCAGAGGCAGGCACACAGTCCCCAAGATTATGAATGGCAGTGACCCACAGGTTATGCTCACCCTTTTGATTAATTGGGCACAGTAACAAAAATTACTCTCAAAGGAAATGAGAAAAAAAAAGGTGTTGCAGAAAGGCAGAAGGATGTCCCAAGGCTAGGAGGCCAGGAGCAAAAGGAAGATAATAAATTTAGTTCCATTAGAGCCTTACAAAATAGGCAGAGGCCCAGTCACTGGTAAGTGCGGCTGGCCTTAGAGAAGGCAGTGACAGTCCCTTCTTGGGAGACTAGGAGTGGAAATCCCACACTGTAAGCAGCTGCAGGAGTCCCACTGTAGGAAGAGTGGCCACAGGCAGACAGAGCACTGCTCACACTCAACCATGCTATCTCCCTGAGAGCAGACTAAAGAAAGATGTAAGAATGGAAAAATGCATGCTATAAATAAAACCACAAGGCTGGCATAGTCCTCTGCAGTGTCCTCGATAGTCCTGCCATGATCAACAGCTAAAAATGCTGAATGGAACAGCTGTGTCTGTATACATACATACATACATACATACATACATACACACACACACACACACACACACACATACATGTACTAAATGCACTTCTGAACTGCTAAATAAGGAAAGACTGGGAGCAGAGAAAAGTGAGTAAAGACTGAAGGTGACACTTATTTGATGTCTGTAACCTTAACCTTCTGATGGCCACAGGACTGCAGGACATAGACAGCATAAACTCTCCAGGGGGCTAAGGGGAAGCCACTGTGCAGCATTGGACTCAGAAGGACTAGACCCTGGACAAAAGACACACAGAGACTAAGCCACAGAGGGACAGCAAGGAAACCTGGCCCTTCAAGCTTGGTTTAAGATGAGAGCTGAGGGCAATCACAACCCAAAGTCTATGAGCACAAAAGCCAGTCTTCTGAGGGTGTGCAGCACGACTTCCATTCCCTACAGGATCCAAACCTCAAGACTGGTCTTGTGACTATGCTAAAAAAGACTGTATCTTTAAAAAGTGATTTAAAGAGGTGTGCAGCCACTCTCCACATACCCGTGAATAACAGGGAGTTAAGGAGCGACCCTGATAGTGCCTTTAGGATCCTGGCAAAACTATGTAACCACTCTCTATATGAACATACTTTCAGATCAATTTCTTATTAATAAGACATTGCAGTAAAACAAGAAAATCACAAGCATACCAAAAAACAAGTCATTCATGAACAAAAATCAGCAAGTCAAGTAAGATTTCAAATACTAAAATCATCGAGGAAGATGTGTACATAAATAGATGTCTGAACTCACTCACACATACTCCTGCACAGACACACGGGTACACAGGTAATTTTAAAAAGAAAAAAAAGATATTTGTGAGTTCAAGGTCAGCCTGAACTATAAAGCAAGTTACAGGACAGCCAAGCTACACAGAGAAATCCTGTCTCAAAACCCCAAAAATAAATTAAATGAAAAAGAAACCAAATACATATCTAATTGGAGTTTTACTTTTAAATTATTTTTTATTTATGTGGGTGTGGGCGGAAGCCAGAAGAGTGTAGGATCTCTTGGAGCTAACATTACAGGTAGCTGTGAACCACTTATCATAGGTTCTGGGGACCAAACTCAGGTCTTCTGAAAGAACATCAGTCTCTCTTAATGTATGAGCTGTGTCTCCAGTCCCTAACTAGAGTTCTAGAAGAAGAAAAGGGAAGGTCAAAGGCCAATATTCACAAAGATAAGGCTGAGAATTTTTCCAGAACCAATGACCAATGAGAAGCATAAATCTGCAAGCTAAGACATTCTAACAGAATTCTAGAGGATCTCTCTCTCTCTCTCTCTCTCTCTCTCTCTCTCTCTCTCTCTCTCTCTCTCTCTCTGTTAGTTGATATAGTTGATATATATTGATATCATAGTGACCTGGCAAAAACCCACAGAAGTTTTTAATTTAAACTCAACTAGAAAAAAACAAAAACAAAAACAAAAAACCCCAGCAAATTATCTACAAGAAGAAATAAAAAAGCCCCTACAACAATGGAAACCAATGAAAAGACAGCAGACCAACTTTTGCAATGTGCTAAGAGAAAACAATTGGAATTGCATATATGGCAAAATAATCAGGTAAAATGATTTTTCACTCAAAAGTGAATGAACTAATCTCCCTCCTCAATGAAAAACAGAACTAAAAAGGAGGACATGACAGCTCCTAAGGGGTTGAGGTCTTATGATAGATACAAAGGAGAACACAGGCAGAGGCAGAGGCAGAGACATCTGGGAGAGTCCATAGTGAACACGGTCAGACTGAGTCATGTGAGGAGAGGGGAAGAGAGGCCAAGAGAGGAGCTGCTGACCAAGAGGGGTGCCTTGGGCCAGGAGACCCGTCAAGAGGTAAAAGGGCCCCCCAAAACCAGGTAACCAAAATGGCTGGGTTATATAGGGAAGGGTAGCAGGGGGAAGGGCAGCCCAGTCCCTGAGCTGAAGAGTTCAGGTAGAGGCGGGGTATGCCAGCCACAGCCTGTCACAGGTAGGGACTAAGGGATGTGGGGAGAACTAGTGGCCGGCGAGCTTCAGCTTTGATCTGTTAATAGGCATCTCAACTGTTCGTCCTGGGTTTGAGACCTAATACCTCTACTAAAAGAAAGTATAGAGTCTGATTCCAAACAAGAAAGCAACCCTAGACACCAGATTCAAGGAGAGCCAACATACAAGGTAAATGGGGTGTACATCTTAAGAAACAATGAATTTATTTTTTTAAATGTCATGTTTTTAAGTTAATGGGATTACTAAAGTAGAACAAATCCTGGCTGACAGGGGCGTGCAGGGCATGATCAGAGTCATTGGTGCAGAAGGGTAAACTCCACTTGACCATACCTAAACATAACCCTAAGCAGAGTTACACTGTGTCATGTCCAGCCTGGTAGACATAAAATTTTCATAGAGAGAAATTAGTAGGCGTCACTCAAAACCAAAATGAAGTAGATAATGGACAAAATTATAAACAGGATCAACTAGAAGAGGTGAGACTGATCAGAAGTTCTGCTCCAGCTTTGTAAATCCATTTAATTATTAAATTATATGTAGGCTTAATTAAAAAACGCTAATGAGGGACTATTAAGACACGGCATACCAGCAGCCTGGTTCAGCCTGGAACTCACAGTGCAGCCTTGCAAGCTTCCTTATTTTAATACCTTGTTCCCAGTTGGCGGTGGTGTTTGGGGAGGTTTGGAGGCACAGCCTTGCTAGAGGAAGGGGGTGGCTTGCCATTTCCGGTTTGTTCTCTGCTTTGTGATTATAGACAGGAATCGAGCTCTCTGCTTCCTGTTCCTGCTGCCATGCCGACCCCACCATTACGGCCTCAAACTTCTGGACCCCAAAACAAAACAAACTCTTTCTTCTCTAAGTTGTATTAGTCATGGTGTTTTATCAGAGCAACAGAAAAGCAATTAATGCACCATGTATCTTGATAGACAGACCCAAAGGCTGGAGACCTGGAGAAGTCATTTTGTAATGACTTTCACTGAACCCCCAAATGTCCTCTCGGTAGGCAGTCTGTAGCCCTTAAATACAAAGTAGATTAAGTACTGCCCTGAGTTAGGACCCCAGGGACATTTATAAAGCATGTGAGTGGCTTGTGACCCCATGGCCAAAAGCCTCATGAGATTACTTGATTTTTGGAGCTGCTCAGTCCCCAGATGCCCAGCCTCTGTCAGTGCCACCTGTGGACATAACTGTGGCCCAG